TTCCAACGTCTGCCCCTCTCTGTGTGGTTCAACTTCTGTTTCTGTGTTCTTGCGCAGTTGCTCTGGGAAGGCTATGACCCGACACCGTTTTGAAAACCCCCGTGAGCGATCAGCTTTTCAGGCAGTGCTGCTGTACTGCCGTCCCCGCTGCAAGCAGCACCAACAATCGAAATGACTGGCTTGACGCTTGCCTACCAGGCATGCTTTCAACGTAGCGAAACTTTCAAGAACGCGTAGCAACTCGGGCTGCAGAATTCGAACATCGATAGGATTCATTAGGCATAAGACCATACAAGTACCGTACAAACTTTGCTCAGCACTTTCGGAGCCTTAACGCAGCCCATTAAGTTGCTCGCAGAGATGCCAGTGACAGCATTCCATGCCTCTGCACTTCATGAAGCACTGCGGCTGCTTGCTTCGGCTGCCTGGCAATGACACAGGCAGCCATCACCGAGCTGCAGACTACAGTGTCCGATTCCAACCTGGTCGCGTGCAGTTCATGCAACAGCACGAGGACTGGCTTGCAGCGCTTGGCGGTCAAGCACGCCTCCATCGCGGACGAGTATGCAACCAGATCAGCCGACCTCGGTAGGAAAAATAATCCCAGCTGCCACTTAGCAGATCTTCCAGCAGCGGCCGTAGCAGCGCAGTGCGTCAACATGCCTGGCACAAGCTTCAGCTTCATCATCTGATGTACAAGTTGCGTGACATACCTCCACATGCGGCCCTTCTCGCGCACATTGAGGACATTGTTGAATGTGGTGAGGTTTGGTTGCAGAAAGCTATCCTGCATCCGGCCGAGCGCGTGCAAGGCATACTTCCAGCGCTGTTGACTTCCACAGGCATTGATCAGCGCATTCTCCGCGGTGACTGTCACCTGGAGCTTCAGTTCCTGAAGTCTTAAGATGAGGGTGAGAGCCGACTGCCATTGAGAACTCTTCTCGCACGCGGCGGTCGTGGCATTGAACGAGATGGTGCCGTCTGCAAGCTGCCCTGGCATGTTTCGGCATGTTCCGCTTCGGGGCATGAAGTTCAGGGAGCCTAAATGTTCTGGATTCAAAGCCTAACAGCCCATGTCCTATACGGCCCAAGACTCCCCCAACACCAGGTCCATGCCCTGCGCTGGCCATTGTAATTTGGGGTTGTGGGCGTGGGGTGAGCTACAACCTTGAACACTTCGGTTGGTCCCATGCGGATCAGAATGACCAGAAACTGCGACAAGCAGGAGATTAGGAAATGTCTTCTTTCAGCTGCTTGCCTGGGGATGACAAATCTGTCTCAACAGAATTGGCAAAGATCCCGGCCAGCGAGCCAATCGCCTGAATCCACTGGCAACCCTTCTCACATGCGCTGATGACGGAGTTGCAAATGACAGCGTTCGGAACCACGGCCCTTCTCACCATGATAGATGCAATTCGCACGGCATTCTTCCACTGCCCTTCAACTGCGCAAGAGCCTACTGCTGTACCATAAAAAACAACACTCTCTTGCAGGCCTGGCGTCTCCAGCAAGAGGCGTATTCCCAGAAGCCATTGTAGTGACTGCGCGCATGAGCTCTGGATAGAAGAGTACGTGATCACATCGGGTTGCGTGCTGCCCGAGCGCATACTACCTAAGTGCCAGATGCCAGCTTGCCAAAGGCCCTCAATATCAAGCGTGGCGACGGCGACATTGTGAGTCCGTACGTTCGGCCTTATGCCTGCCTGCGACGCATGTTGGAGCAGAAGGCTAGCCAAGTGCCAGCCATTTCTTGGCTTAGCTGTAGTGATGCATGCGTTGTAGGTGATGACGTCTCTTTGCACTTGCATCTTGGCAAACATCTCCAGAGCAAGTTGCCATGCCCCTCGTTTGTGAACATCATACGACTCTGGCAGGAGGCCTCCCTCAAAGATGCTGATGGCAGTGTTGAAGGTGAGCACGTTTGTCCGAATTTGTGCATCCCTGATCCGATGCAGCAGGAAGCCCGACAGTGCCCAGCGTTTTCCAGAGCAAGCAGAAAGAGCAGAGCTGTGCGAGATGATGTCCGACTGCAGGCTCGCACATGACATTCGCGATAGAGTGGATGTTGCACTGTCCCAGCGGCTGCAGCCAGCATACATGCTGAGTAAGGAGTTGGCTGTGATGGTATCCGAAGCAATGGCAAGATGGCCGAGGACGTCAACCAAATGCTGAGCATGCTGCCAAGACCCCTCTTTCTCACAGCTGCTCAGGGCTGTGTTGTAAGAGAAGAGATCCCGCTTCAGCGCCGCAGCTGCCATGTTCCGCAGTAGAACGACCCCATCACCCCACAGACTCGTATCGGCAATGGTCAGTGCTGTGTTGTAAGTGATGGCATCTGGCTGAACTCCGCTTGCCAAGGTGGCTTCAAACAACAGGCCAGCTTTCTTCCATTTCCCGCATCTGACGCACGAAGCAATTGCAGCGTTCATGATGAAGGAGTTGGCATTGACTGCCTCTTCTTTCAAGCTCTCAAGATGCCCCAAGGCTGTCCGCCACTGTTCCCCAGTGCGGCAAGCACTGATCATCTTGCAGCATCCCTTCAGCCTTGCAACTTGAACGTCCGCTGGCTGAGCCATGCCAGCTTTTCAACTGGGGCCAGACACCCCAGAGGTTTGCTGTCGTTGTGCAACGTGCTTGTGCCGCTTGGGGTCGGCTTGGACATGCTTGAACTGAACGGCTACGCATGGCTACGCATGGCTACGCATGGCTACGCATGGCTACATAAAGGCTGACAACAGGCAACTTCGGCCGGCATCGAGATTTGAGCTCACGCCCAATCATCGCGGGACGCACATTGGTGACCTCTGCGCCCAGCAAACTTTTTGCGCATCAGCCTGCGGCCACATACTTTCATAACACATGAGCTCAAGATGCTTCAGGACCAAGACAAGTTGCGAGAGCTGCTGCGACTTGTGAAGAGAGCCGACAGTCGAGCCAAGCGGGACAACATCAAGCTGTGGAGCCGACTGTTGCCCTTTCGCATACAGGAGAAGAGCCTGCTGCCATTGCGTGCTTTGAGCGCAAGCACTTAGGGCAGCTGTGTAGCAAATCAGGTTCGGCTGCAACACAATGTCCGTCATCTGCATCAACAAGTTTAAGGCCTCCTGCCAGTGATTGGGTTCACAAGCACTGATGGCCCCGCTGTAGCTCACGACATCGGCTTCCAAACGCCATCGTGGCAAGTCCATCAGAAGCTGCAGCGCCCGGTGTAGCTGTCCCACCTTCCCGCAGGCACTAATGGCAATGTTGAAGCTGATGGTTGTCGGCAGAATCTGAATTTCTGGGAGGGCTTGAAGGAGCTCGAAAGCAGCATTCCACCTGCAGCACTTCTCGCAGGCACTGGCTGCGGCATTGTAGCTAATGATGTCCGCTTGCACTGCGATTTCGTACAGCCGAGTCAAGACAGTCAAGGCCTGCTTCCACCTCGACCCCTTCTCACACGCACTGATGGCACTGTTGATACTGGCAGCTGTGGCTTGAAGGCTGCCAGAGCACAAGATGTCAAGAAGCTCTAGGGCGCGCTTCCACTCTTGGCTGTTTCCGCACGCGGCGATCGCAGCATTGAAAGTCATGGTGTGAGCCTGCAGGCTGGTAGCTTCCAGCCTTGCAAGCAAGTCTAGTGCATGCTGCCAAAGATCAAACCTCTCACATGCTGAAACCATTGCGCTGTATGAGACCACGTCTGCTTCAAGCGTCCTCTCATCCATGGCCCTGAAAGCACAGAACGCCTCTTGCCACAGCGCCGACTTTCTGCAGGCCGAAATCAAAGAGTTGTAGGAGATTCGGTCGAGGTGGAAAAAAGCTTCTTGACAGCTGCAGAAGAAGTTGAGAGCATCCTTCCACTCCTGGGCCTTCTCGAAAGCGCTCAAGACGGCGTTGCAAGAGATCACGTTGGGGCGGAGGCTTTGAGGTGCAAGTAGCTCAAACAAGCCAAGCGCGTGACTGGGGTCTCCTGATCCCTGAACAGCTGTCATGGCACTGTTGTGCATGACCATGTTTGCCTGTATCTGCTGCAAAGGCAAGCATTCTAGGATGGAGAGAGCTAGTTTCCACTCTGCCCCTACGCAAAGATTCGTCATCGCGGCGCAGGTGACAATATCAATTTCCAGCCCGTGCTGTTGGATTGCAGCTTGCACTGTCAGGGCCTGTTGCCAGGCGCTTCGACACTCGCTGAGCAGGGTGTTGAAAGTGATCAGATCTCCCCGAAGCTTGCTCAGCTTGATCTCGGACAGAGAGAAGCATGCGTGGCGCCAGCCCTGCAATCCCCTGTGCTGGGCGATCCGCATGACCGAGTTGTAGGTGATCGTGTCTGAGGGCAAGTCCCCGGCCTGCAGGGACGACAAGACGTGAATGGATGCTTCCCAAGCTTGGCCTCGCTCATACCTTGAGATCGCTGCGTTGGCCACGATCACATTACAACGAACCAGGGTTTCTCTGGCATCTGACAGCAAGAGCTGTGCTGCGAACCACGAGAACCTTGTGTCTTCCTCATGTCTGCCGCGCGCTGCGATCGCAGCGCTGAGCAGCCCAAGTGTGCTTAACCTCAGACGCTCCTGGTGACTCAATCTGGTCAATTCATGCAGCCGCTGTGCTGCAGAAAGCCAGGCCTTGACTTGGCAGGACACCCCCGCGGCTGGCAAGGATTCTTTCTGACTTCTTGAACTTTCGCGGCTCGTGGCACCCTTGGGCCCTGCTCTGCCACAACGAGTAGCCACCGAGGCCCATTGCCAACAACTTTGCATTCACTGGGAGTTCTGCTGAGCCACTCTGGACACGAATGCAACCCACAAAGCATGAAAGCAGGCGAGGCATCACGCAAAGAAAACACAGCAGCATGTTATCTACTATTTGCTGAAGAACCCCCCCAAACAAAATATAGAACATTCTTCCCTTAGAAGGGCAACGTAGGGATCAGCATCCTTTGCTTTTGTGAGGGTTCTTAAGCAAAGTAGCAGGATTTTTATTTAGTCTGTTGAATGGGCTTCTTGTTGCCAAGCAACTTCTTCGACCTCTCCAAAGGCTTCCAGGAACTGCGCCAGCTCATCGGTGCCTTTCTCGAAGGGCAATGGATCGATGAAGACCTGGAAATCAGATCATGTGGTGCCTGTTCGCATCCCTTTTGTATGCTATTTTTGCTTGTGTCTTCGGCATAGTTGACTGTATTTGCGCTGCGGTGCAAAGGGGTGTCAATCAGGTGTTGAGGTTTTGGGTGCAAGCTGTGATGGGATTGACAGAGGGCGTGACGAAGAGGTGCGGAGGGCGGGTGCCAGCAGAAGGCATGAACATGAAATGAATGAATATTCGGCCCGCCGCTGTGGACGCCACGACTGTGTCTATGCCCCCCAGAGAATTTTTAAGTAAGGGCCCCTCGAGACAAGCACGGCTGGCACATAGGTTGTTCATGATGAGGGGCGGGGGATGTCTTCTTGGCACCTGCCAACTGCTTTGAACCCTCTTCATTTGGGCGATACATAAGCAGCTGCCTCCCGTTGAATTGGGTCTTCGTGTTTCCGCAGGCTGTGACAGAAACAACTTTCAAGACTCTAAGTTCAGGCGAGAAGAACTACCAGGGCCGTATGCCCTGGTCGAAGCGAAGCAAGCATCAGTTGGAAGACCACCACAAGTAATCGTCCAGTAGAAACCAAGGCATTCAAACCACTATGCAACATGTCAGTTGAACTTTAACCTATACTCCCCTTAGAACCGTAATGAAACAAACATTTCAATATACTCTTGGGCTTTCATTTAAACAAAAACAAAAAATAATTCCCAAGGGGGATATAGTAACGGCTCCCAGAGAATGAAGAAACGCGGCGGAGTGACCTCCTTGTCTGTTGGCATAGCAACCACGTCAGGACGGTTCATGGCGATCTCATCCAAATACCTTGGGGAACCCAACCAACCCCAAAAGGGTTTTCACGGTTCATATACCTGAATCAGAATTATAGTAGTATAGGGTGTCGGTACATGACCCTAAACCCTAAACCCGAAACCCTAAACCCGAAACCCTAAACCCGAAACCCTAAACCCGAAACCCTAAACCCGAAACCCTAAACCGAAACCCTAAACGACCCAAATTTTTGGGTTCATCTGGTCCCCAAGGTACAGGAAGAAGTCCTGGGGCGGAGAGACCTGGTCTCCGAGAGGTGGTTTTGCCACAGCTGAGGCGTCTATGCAGCAGCTCCGTGCTTGGAGGTTCAAGGGTACTTAAACCCCAATTAGAGGTGTCTACCTTATAACTTCTAACCTACTTATAAGACACTAATTTTAACACTTGTAACCTACTTAGGGGACCTTATAAGTGCAGTTATGATTGGGGTGGTTAGAAGTGCCCATGAACCTCCAAGTAAGCTCTGTCAAAGCTGAGAAGTGAGCAAAGTCATCTCGCTCCTTACGGCTGCGCAAGGTCTTTGGAAGATGTAAGAGAACAAACATCAAGAACACACACGCTGCTGACACTCACTGACGTTAACATACATTTGCAGCGTGGGCTCAGGTGGATGGATTCGCCAGCAGTCTACCTTGTCGCACGCGGCACCCCAATGACCTGAGCACGGTGAACGGTAAGATTGAACATGACGCTCCTCACACGATAAGGTATGGCACACGATTACATCTCGGCAATTGTTTCAGGCATACAGTCGTGTATGCTCGTTCAGTTCCACTGTCGCACCAAGCTAGCTGCGGCCCCGTCTACTTGCATATCTGAACAAATAACCAGGCTGCACATGGCTTTCAACGGATTCTGGTCGATGGTGCGGCCATTTGGGTGCTGATACCTTAGAAAACCAAGTGCTGCAAGTTCATGTCGGTGCATGGGCCAGTTGAACCAGCTAACCCTTCCCCCCCCCCCCCGCTGCTAGGGAAGCCATGCGCGATGCGAGCTTGAGCCTTTAAGCGCTCGACCAGCATCCTGCCCGCTGACACGCCTGGCCGTACTTGCAGATCTCCTCGCGGCCTACACCACGGTGTTTGGCTAATTGTTTGCCTCGGCCCTGGCCGTGTGGCGTCCAATGTTGCCAACCACCCCTCCTGCCCCCTCCAAGCCTTGTGGCCCATCATGAGCAACAGTAATCAACACCCCAACAAGCAAAAGCAAAGCAGTAGAACACAAAGGTCAGTTCTTCGGAGGCCTGATGCCAACTTCCAGCAGTGCACTCGGCCCGGGGTGCCCCGTGAAGTTCAAAAGCACTTGGCCCTTCCCCCCCGCCCCCCCCCCCCCGCAAGAAAATGTGCTTTCGGGAAACATCAGTTCAACCCCACCCCAACTGAACTGCACGGAATCAACGCTCCGAAGATCCAGCGTAGACCAACCATCACAGGTGTGCACGAGTCCCGAAAGCTCCAGCCTAGATCAAGCATCGCAGATGCGCACAGGATCGCGCAGTGTCTTTCGTTCGCTCGCTCACCTCCAAGCCCGGGCCGAGGCGGGTGACGCGCAAGCGTTGAACGTAAGCAGCAGAGGCAGAGGAGACCTGAACTTCAACTCCACAATTTCATGTGAAGTAGGGTTTATATTACCATTACTAAGGAACCCTAAATACACTCACCAACAACAGTAAATGGTTAATACAATAGCCCATCTGACCATTCCGAGATGTACCGCACATTTCACTTTTGTCTGCGAATCCCCGGCCTGGGACCGGCTGCAAAGCCTGAAGAACAGAGTCGGACACCACCTTAGAGTCTGGAGGTTTGGGGTTTAAGGTTTAGGGTTTAGGGACGATTAGTTTAGGGTTTAGGGTTTAGGGTTTAGGGTTTAGGGTTTAGGGTTTAGGGTTTAGGGTTTAGGGTTTAGGGTTTAGGGTTTAGGGTTTAGGGTTTAGGGTTTAGGGTTTAGGGTCGATTAGTTTAGGACTCGCCATCCTGGTCTTTACGGCGGGCTTGAGATGGCTGGAGTCTGAGTCGCTGGAAGCCGTGGAACAAGAGGACCCGCGAAATGCCCTGGGCGCGGTGTCCTCAGCTGCACTTGAGAGGCCGCGCCGTGCAAGGAAGTCCTTGGGGGCAAAAGAAAGTTGAGAAACCGTGTGCGTGAGCTCGCCTGAGAGGCGACCTTGAGCAAGATTTGGAGAGATGAACTCGACAGAAACGCGCGAGCGCAAGCATGCAAGGTGCGTGCCCCAAGAGCTAGACGCATCCTGAACACACACAACAGGCCAAGATATCTTGGGGCAAATGTCTGAGGGGGGGCCCCAAACTTTCGAGCTTGACTGGAGAAACTGTCACTTTTTGGTGTGCAATCTCCTGTTGCAAGACCTATCGGTTCGGCTCTGAGATGATGCGTTGCTGCCCATGCATGCGCGACCCAGACCCCAAAGTGGCTACTGCACGTCTGGGTGCAGCCCGTGGTAGTCAGAACATAACTCACAGCAGTAGCAGCGTGCCTGCACCACTTTTCCTCAAAGCCTAGGCCTACTCCTCAAATCAACACTTCCCACCCTCAGCCTTCCGAATGTGACAAGCTTCACCGGCATGGGCAGCGTCCTGGGGACCTTAGATACGAGGCCTTCTGCTCATGGCTTTGGGAATGAACTCCGTGCAACAGAGGGAGGGATGTCTTTTTGGACTTGGGCTTCAATCCCTACCCAAGGACCGATGTGTTTGCAAAAAGCCTGGGTCTTTCTTGGCCGTCGGCTCCTGCAGCTACACTTCGGATGAACCGAACCCTCCTTGTGACACCTTGTGCAAATTCGGCTTATCTCTGCGCCAGCCACTGAGGGCGGCATCTCGAAAGGGCGAACTTGCATGCCAATGGCCCGCGGAGGGACACCTGCAGCATGCGCGTGTAGGATCTAAAGCTCAAAGCTGGAAGCACTGCCCCTGCAAAAGAGATGCACTGTACATGCGGCACTACAGTCAAGAAGTCAAGAACGCGAAGAAGTATCCTTGAGAATGCCTGACGACTGACAGCTCCTCTACTTGAGAGCATGTCGGAGCTGCACATAGCAAAGGGTGCGGAAGCCTGCCGGATGCAAAGGTGGCTGTGGCGAAGAGGCGACGAAAAGTGCGGCATCATGATGCTGGAACATGCAGGGCACTCAGCCCTGTTCAACCAGGTAACTGTGCCTCACTTCCCTTACACCATGCGGTCCCCGCAGCGTTAACTCTCTAAACGATATTCCGTCCAGCCCCCACGCTCGTGCCAAAAGGGATTGTGCTTTATTGGACATAAGTCTAGGTGGGCAGAGTTCGGACAGTGTGGCTGAAGGGAAGATTTAATGACTTCAGGATAACAGACGTAAACGGCTGCGGTGACGAGCAAAGGTTTCTGGGAAATTCAGCAGTCCTACAATGGCTCTGTGGAAATTGCGGGCTTCCGGTGTTCCCGTGCGAACGCAGTAGAGCCCTTTTGCCATCTGCCTAGTTGACCTGCGAAACCACGCCTCAGAATTCCGTGTGTCTTTAAAGTGCAGGGGGATCGCATCCACACACCCACACACACACACACACACACACACACACACACACACACACACACACACACACACACACACACACACACACACACACACACACACACGCACGCGTATAATCGTCAAAACGAGAGAGGTCGGGCCTAGGTCGCGCAATAGGGGCGTCGCTTTTCAGTGTTCCCCGTCACTTTACGAGTGTTTTGCATGGTTTTGCTGTAACCCGTCGCTTTACAGGGGTTTTGTCTTACGGGCTACTCAAATAAGGGGCCCTGCTTTTCAGTGTTCCCCGTCGCTTGACAGGGTTTTTCACACTTCACCTAGCAAGATAAAACGGCAATTGCCATAGTTCTATATAGTATCGACCCTTGCTCATATGCATGTACACGCCCAGTACGCAGAGTGAAGACTGAACCTCTCGGTTTAGGCGATGGCCCATTCGCATCCTTTGCTCGAAAGACATCGCAGGACTCTGAGCATGCTTCATGACCACGCAGCTGTGACATTATGCGCAAAATGCTTCAAATCCAAGCTGCGGCTATCTCCATGTCTCGGAGCCATGTAAACCAGCTCAGTATGGCCCTGCCTCGCGCTGTCAAGCTGTATGGCCCGGCACAGAGGCGAAAGTTGCACCGTTGAGGGAACAAGCTGAATTATGCCTTGGCGCCGTTCGGCGAAAACGCTGCCAGAATTCAGAATTGCCCAAGCCAACGAGCAGAAAATTCTGTCAATACCGATGTTCCGGTCTGGACGCAATGAAAAATAACCCCCCCCCCCCCCAGCGAAAAATGCTACAACTCGACCTTGGAACACTGATGGGTTTTTGGTTGGTCTGGGGCTGAGGGCTTGGTTGGAATGAAAAGCAGCTTTGCAAAAGCTTTCAGCGGCTCCGGTGGTTCAGAGCACACCACTTATCTTTTCGTTGGTCTCCATATGCTTCGAACTCTCGCTTGCTGACGACTGGCTACCAGACTGGCTACCAACAGAACTGCTACCAAGTCGCGACTCTACTATACGGACTCATGGCCATCTTGACAAAGTGCACCTCGGAAGATGCGACGAGTAGCTGCTCATTCATGTTGCATGATGATTTGAACCGGTGAGCATGAAGACATGCAGCTTCAACTTCGTAACTAATTACGCCCGAGCTAAAGAAAGATGCAGCAAGCTTCTGTCGCTGTCCTGAGAGATGGCTGTTCCACCCTTTTGATGTAAAAGAGAATTCATGTAAAATTCAAGCTCAGCGCTCGTTTAGCAAAGCTGTTGAAGTTGGGATGGTGCGGATGAGCGTCTAACCAACCAGCTGCCGCATCGAGGCGGCCATTTGGCTACGTGGTGCTAGGCTCTAGGCTCCCGGTCCAGAGCATTCACGCCAGCGGCATTGTGTCATTGTAGTCTGCCGGGTGATGCATGCATGTTCCTTTCGAGTCAAAGCCTGCGGCGAACTCTGTCGCAGTTCCTACAGTTGCCCCTCTGATGGAGTGACGTCGGATGCTAACTCTGCATGGAATCGGCTGATGCACACGGCTAGAGGTACGAAAGTGGTTCATGCTTGGTGCCGTTTCCGGCCAGAGCCAACGAATTTGAAAGTTATCCCCTTGGAAGAGCTATAGTCTCCGAAAGCACAGAGCTCTGCCAAGGCTAAGTGGCTCCTTCGCATGGACATGGGCATTTCATCTTGTGCACGCTGTGGCGAAGTCCGCACCCAGCCGATGATCCGACCACAGGCCAAGAGTTGGGTGAAACGACTGCATGCACCGGTCTATCCCATGCAGCCCACCTCTTGCTGCACACCCATCAACTCGAAATTGTGTAACTGTGTGCTTTTGGGCGAAACCTAAAAGTGGGTAGCTCCCGATGGGACCAATTCGTGCTGAAGCTGGCCGTCATCAACACGAGGCGGACTCGTACACTCAACTACTCTACTACGCATCTGACGACGGCCATTGGCTCCCGGAGGCAAGTGCTTTGCATTCTCCGAAAGCCTCATTTTGAATGATCTAAGTTTCTTCTTGCTGCTGCAAGGCAGGGAAAAGCAACACGCTGCAATCATGAAACAGACACTGTCTCAAGTCTCAACGTACTCTGAATGCGGCCACGCATTGCAGCCGAACATGTCTGTTATCCCAGATATGGAAGTCTGCAAGAAGCTGTTGGCTGTTGCAGATTTCTTTCTACAATTTCGTGCCGGTGCCCTCGCGTCGGCCTTCAAACGTGGAACTTTACTTGGGCACTGATTATGCCACGACACTGCACGCCCTAGACTAGATCCTCACCAGGAGTCGTCCACCCTCCTGCAGTCAAGACGGGACTGTGCTTGAGGTGAGAGGGTGTTGATGCAACAGGTTTCAATACAATTTGATACCTGAGGAACCATGGAATAAGAAGCAGAGGGAGGGAGGGAGAGAGAGAGAGAGAGAGAGGGAGCTGCATGAGCGACGGAACAAAAGGATTAACACAATGCCCAGCACGTACCGCGCTACTTGGGCAATTTTCTACCACCCTGAGACATCTTGTTTGCTGATTGCAGGCCGCAAGCCGCCAGTCACCAGCCCCACGCCCTCTCCCACCCTCTCATCATCAGCGCAGGATTCTTGAAGGCCCCGGTGGGCTGCAGTTGTTGGGGCCACGGCATCGACTTCACACATGCGGCGCCATGTTTCTCCGTCCGAACAGAGTTCCTTCATCTGCCCCGAGCTATCAGCCGGGATCTCCCGAACTAGTGCGATGGAGTGGGAGCCCTTTAAATGATGAGGATCTGATTCTTCAGACCACCTGGCTCCTGCTACATTTCACCCACCTTGCGCACGTGACGTGCCCCGAGGCTGGGAAGAGGCAGCACGCAGCTTTCTGCATTTCGTCCTTCTTGGACGATGGTGCCTCCTCCAGTGTGCGCAAAGGGTGCTCTGTACAAGTGGTGATGCTCAGCCAAACTTGGTTATACAGCTGAAAGCGTAAGGGCAATGTACGGCCATGTCAATTCCGTAGGTTGCGGATCCAGGATCGCGGCAGCATCAGCCGAAAGCTAGACGCTTAACAGATGCGTGAGTGAGCTCGACGTTCTTGTAAATTGCACGAATTTGATCACGTCACATCACGCCAGCTTGAGTACTGGATTGTTGTGCCACACGCAACGCCGGCAGAAGCAAGGGATCTGTGGATCTTTGCCTGCACCAGCCCTATCTGCACAGGGTCGTATATCTCAGACATATTACACGAAGTCAGAGACTCAAACCATCTCCTAACGCCGGTATGACACATGTTTCATCTCAATGGCAGCACCACTTCATCACAGCTATCGGCTACTTGCTCCCAGCCAGGTCACACATCTCCTCTCTATACTGGTCCTGTGCAGACGTTGGCATGCCGGAACGACCCACGTGTTCAAAGCACGTCGCCCCTTCATGACCTGCTATACCTTATGCAAAGAGTCCCCTACTTTGGGAACTTCTGACCCTGGGATCCTCCAGCTCCCCGGGTACCAACTGGTTGCGGAATCCACGGTGGAAGCGGTACGTCAACACGGATTCAATCGAAACCTCGCTTGGGGCTCCCTTTGAAAAGAGATGCATGAAAGAGGTATCCCAGATGATGAGGGCCACCGGGCCCCGTGCGGCCTACCATGCTTTGGCATGTTCCTCCTTAATTATACTAACAGTCCTTACCTTAGTAGGGATTCTAATCGGGGGTACGATCATCTCGAATTATACTAACAGTCCTTAGTAGGGATTCGAATCGGGGGTACGATAATCTCTTGTCAGAAAAAAGGGGGAACATCAGGGACACGGCGAATGAAGGCCATGGAACTTGCCCTTGATGTCTGTGAAGGTCTCTCGGGGAAGAGCTTGTTGCGCTCCATATCTGAGGCAGTCCTGCACAAGTTGGGGCACATCATTCCTTCATCAAAGAAGGCGTTTGTCAGATGCAGCTTTGCTTCTTGTGTTGCTTTCTGCTTTTTATGCTTTGTGTGTTTGCTCCTTGCTGATCTGGGCTGCTTTCTTTGCTTTGCTGGATTTGCTGTGCCGCTAAACAACGCAAAGCCCAAGGTTTGAAACTAGGACTAGGCGAGACATCTTCCAGGACCTCCGCGTCACGACAGCCTCCTCTACGACGAGCACTTTTGTGAATTGCTGATGTTAACTCTCAATTCCAGGAAGTCCTGCGGTGGACACTCGAGGGATGTCGCCTTGGCAACTCTCATCCGTGTTGTATCTGCTCACATTGGACCCTCCAATAATGTGGCGTGCTTTTTGAGGAGGGTAGCTGCTAGCAGGGTAAAGGAAATTCAGCAAGGAGATGTCTCTTGCGGCAGCGTCGCAGTGTCCCCTGCAGAGCGGATGAAGCCAGCAGCAGAAACGACTGCTTTGCAGAAGCTGGCGAAGGAACTCCTCGGTCGCCATCAGCCCCATCTCTGTGGCACGACACTGCAAACGAAACGATGCTTCTACAAGTACCTAGAGTCTCCGTTGCGAAGGCTGACAAGGCACCTCCTCATCTTCTGACTCGGACCTGATTCAGACAGCAGAACCGGTGCTCAGGTGGATCGGACATCTGCTCATTCTCCCTGTTTCCTACTGGATCGGGCAAGCTTGGGCTGGGCAAATGTGGGCTGAGTTCTCAGGGGAGGCCCTATAGCCTAAACCCTCAACCGTTGGCTCTGAGTCGAACTCTGCTGGGCGAAACCATGGGCCAGGTACAATACCTCGATCGTGTGCTAGAAACTCTATCACATCATATACCTACACTACACCCCTAGAAGGCTATAACATACTATTCTGCTTGCTGTGTTATTTTGGGTGTGGGGGGGGGGGGGCACGCAAACGATCAAGCTCCGGGCTCGCTGTCTGCGGAGCCTTTGATGGACAACTGGTGTGAGGTTTAGGGTTTAGGGTTTAGGGTTTAGGGTTTAGGGTTTAGGGTTTAGGGTTTAGGGTTTAGGGTTTAGGGTTTCGGGTTTAGGGTTTAGGGTTTAAGGTGTCTCTGAAGTTGGGGTCCCCGATCGTGGTTGTGGGTAAGAACTTAGTACGTAGGTTTGCTTCAAACCCTTTTGTTGCCGCCCCTGCCTCTTATACTCGGGGGGGGGGTGCCCCAAAATGGACGGGCATTTCGAGAACTGTCAAAGCTGCTTGCCCTGAACTGGTCATGTTCTCTCAGGCGGCGCTGGAGTGTGCATTGTGCGCAGAGCTGCCCCTCTGCTGCTAGACAAAGATCGCAGCCGATGCGCTGCCAACCATGACTACTCCTCCCGACTACCGCACCAACCGAACTTTGTCTCCACAACTTGCCAAGTTTCGGCTGAGATAGCTGATCGTTGACTGCTCCTCACAGATGCGTGACCATGTGGTCTGGATACACACCACATATAGGATGCGACTGTCAACCGCGGTGTCATTTTGTTGAGGCCTCTCCTGAGCAAAGGCATCCCATGCAGAAGTTGGATCGCTTTTTCCACCTGCACTGCGAGCGCAACTGGCTGGGACACCCCAGCAACGCCAGGTAAAAAGCGCTTAGGGGCTTCACGACATCGCCCAACAACACGTAGCAGTGATATGATAATTGTGTAGTAATTTCCTATAGGAAAGTACTGTCCATTATTGTGGATTGTTGTAGATGATTGTGCATTATTGTGCATTATTGTGTATTATTGGCACCTTCATTGACGTGGACCTCCTCCTGCTCAATGGTCGGCGTCATGGTGAACAGCTCTCGCAGCGTTAGCTCCTCCTCACCTCGCTAGGGCGACACTGTCGGGCTTTAGGGTTTAGGGTTTTAGGGTTTAGCGTTTGGGGTTTAGGGTTGGGCTTTCCTCCATTTTTCACAAGGGACTGCTGCCCTTGTTGCGAAGGAGATGTTCTGCCGAGGCTCTCCATTCTTCTTCGTCCTGTTGCAGCTGCGCGCGCAGTGCCACGAGTGCAAGGTGAGCAGGGGAAAAAGGTTTGAGGATGATAGTTCCCAGGACTCGGAGCCTCACCTTGAGGTATCTAAGGCCCACACACACACACACACGACCCAGATGGAGGTCCAAATCAAGATCAGCACCCATCCTGTTTGCAAAGGCTTCGAACCACGTCCACGACGGTCAAGGCATCCTCTCCTGAGTCGCCTAAGAGCGCATTCGGCAGGATTCATACAGCACGAAGATACATGCCTCTCCCTCTAACTTCAGAAGGTTGCCCTTGAGGGCAGGGCTCGATCCGCCAGCGTCCTCAACGAAACGTTGCGGCTTCGGTCTAGGGATTCAGAATTCAACATAGTCAGTCGCCGCTCCTCCTCGTCCTTGCCTGCCAGCTTGGGCATCCCCTGCGATGATGCGACGCACACCGTGAACAGTGCTCGGATGGCGTGGGCATAAGCTTAGGTAAACTGATGTCGGAATCTACGACTGTTCCTACTGTTTGCTAGTAGGGAATGGGGGAATGAGGTACCCTACATGATTCCACCAAGGTTCTTTTTAAGGCCCCAAATCCCTCATTCCTTGCTAACCAACAATATGTCGTGTGTACGTGTACTTGCCGTGCGCATGTCGCTGCCTGGCCAGGACTTGGCAGAGCAGTCCAGTCACCGACCTTGGTAGGCTGGGAAAGTCTCCGGGAAGCAGCACCCGTCGAGCATAGTGGCATCTTTGGCAACCCAAGGAGGACATCTTATTTCTTTGCCTCCCAATCCAGGTCTCAGCGTCTCAGAGTGGCGACTACAGGCTCGAGGTCTGGGCACAACGCAAGCCATGCTTGGCAGGCTTGACAGTGTGTGCTACTAAAGCCTACTCACTTTTTTCTCAGGCCGCACAGAAGGCGGCAAACCACGATCTTTGCCGAAACCTGACAACTCAGCAAGGGCTGGGCACTTCAAGGCGTTTTCTTAGCAAGGCATCATGCAAATCCCTTCTTCAGGCTGCCGGCGAATCAATCCTTCCTGCGTGCAGCTAACGACCTAAGTGCACATGTCATCGTCACACATGCCCTCGTCATACACACCAGCACGAGTTTGAGCACTTCCGGTTGTTCTGCCCAGTGGCCAGCCAACCATCGCGCGTGAAGATGTGTCCGTGGGAAAGGCCGCGCGCGCCCGTCAAGCGCGGGGAATACATTGCCTGTCCACTTCAACATTTCACTTCCAGAGTATATCCTGCCATAGGCACTGAAGCGCTGACTTCTACTATCAGTGATTACGCTGCCGCTGCCCAGAACAACTCATGAGAGTAAGCTTAGGACATAGAGCAGCCACTCATCTGCACGCCATCTTGGAAATGCGTGGTGGAACCACATAGCCTTTGCTCGACTCTCTGTAGGAAACGGCTCACAGCTCCCATGTGCAATGTGCCATCGAAGACGTACAAGATGGATGATGGCATGGGCGTCTGTCGACAGGCATAGAAAGCAAAGGCAAATCTGAAGGTGGTACGCTGTGGTGCTATGTACACAGAAGCAAATGCCTGTCTGAAAATGGTTTGCGTCGCTTGTGGGACTGTCAAGGCAAGTCGCATGATCCAGCGAGGCCATCATAGGCCGAGCTTCCCAGAATGATTTCCACCCTATTTCCACCCGGGCAGTGCCTCGCGGTGCATTGCACACGGCAAATGACCGCTTGTTATGAAACAAACCCTACCGCGTGTCAGGAGAATCTGGGGAAGCAGCTGAGCAGTCCGGCATCACTCTGGTAAGCCAGGACTGCGTGGTGCACATGTTCCTCAGGTACCATCAGGGTTCGCCGTCCGATATCAGGGTCCTGCGACCTTCGGTTCCCAGGCCCATGGTTCCTCGTAACTTTCGCTTCAGGCACCACACTTGGATGAAATCCCGATCCTACACAGAGGTGCCGCGTGTGCTTTCAGAATCTTGTTGATTGAAGTCCCACGACTGTAAGGTGGTCAAAACCTCTCCTACCCAGCACAAGAGAGCAAGCAGCCTTAATGTTCTGGGGGCCCTCTGAAGCCCAACTGTACAACCTATACAAGGGGGTTTTACGAGGTTAGGGGGTACCATTTTGGGGTCCTTATTTGTCTTATTGTTAAGGGGGTCCGACTATTTGGGGGGTCTACATCAGGGGTCCCCCAGTGTCGTAAAATAATAAATACACAAACAAATGTATATATATATATATAAATACACGTATATATATATATATATATATATATATATATTACACGGGGGCTTAAAAGGGGCCTCTGCCTGGGAACTCTCCACACTTGCGAACTGGGAGTCGTCGTCGGGCAAGCGCTCCCGAACTCGGAACCAAAGCAGCTGAGAAGGCATTCCCAGGCCGGACAGCGCATATCTGGCCCGATTCTGCTTTGCCTCTTCGGTGTTCCTTAACCACAGGATTTGGGTTTAAGGTGTAAGGTGAGTGTAGGGTGTAGGGTTTATTGGGTTTGCTGTAGTCTAGTGCCGAAGCTGTGAAGGTTGGGATGAAAACGAGCATCGAAAGGCTCGTAAGAAGAGCAGCTATGGCCCGATTGCGGAGGGCCATCTAACACTTTCTCCCACCCCACGCCGTCTGAAGGGGCAAAGGCCACCCAAACCTATCCCTTTTAGGGTTTAGGCCCAAACTCAAGTCAAGTGCGTGCTTACAAAAAACTTCTTCCAACCAGTAGTTGTTGAGGGCTTCCTTCAAAAAACATCCGGCAGCACGCCAGTTCCAAGCATCCCAAGGGGGTTCCAGAAGGGTTTCATGGCCCACACGACAAAGGGAGGTGGGCGAACGACTTGGGGCGAACGACCTGGGGCGGGTTGTGCCATCGAGCTCGAGGGGCTTAAGTGCCTCCCCCCCACCCCCCCTCCCACCCCCTAGCCTTGAGTTTAGGGCATATCGGGCATGAAGATTGAAGATTGGCCTGGAATGCAAGATCAGGTCGGCACCATATTGGCTCAGGCCCAGGCCAATTGAGCGCATCAAGAACTACGCGGACATCAATCGGATTGACGAATTTCTTCCTGGTTGCACTCAGTAGCATGTCCAAAAGATCGATGAGAGAGCCAAAGCGGAGTTCCATCAGCCCTGCCTGTGCTTCAGGATCCATTTGGCCAAGGGCTGGATCTCTGGATCATGCAAGAGGTTCTTGAATCGCTGCTCTTCCTTCGGCTTCCACACGATGAGCTACACAGCTGGGGCCGCTCCATGTCCAGTTATTTCAGCCTTGTGCGGGTGGGCGGCAGTTGGCAAAGATTCGGGATCTGGAACCTGTGGCATCAAGGCCTGATGGCACACCGAGTAGCCTGGCAAGAATCGGCCAAACAAAGAAAGGACCCTGACTTGAAGCGTCAAGGCAGCTATTCTGTCTTCGGAGGACTGACACAAGAGCTTGCGACCCCTAAACCCTAAACCCTAAACCCTAAACCCTAAACCCTAAACCCTAAACCCTAAACCCTAAACCCTAAACCCTAAACCCCCGAAAAGAGGCAGCCTTCCGGACGCTGAAAGCTGGCTTGCATGGTGAAGATCCTCAGGTAACAAGGCGAGCTGATGCATCCGAGCGACCTAGAAAACCCAGCAGCTCCAAAGTTGGCACCCCAACGCCCCGAATACCTCTAAAGCCGAAGCTCCAACACCAAAGTAGGGGACCCTTAATATAGACCCCCAAATAGTAGGATTCGCTTATAGTAAGGACCCTAATGAGGTACCCCTATTTTCGGAAACCCCCGGTGGATCATGGCGCAGCCAAGGAGCCACTCTCCCTTCTGCCGGGCTGCCACGGATCGAGTGGCAAAGCTGTTGCCATCCCGAACTCGGCTGATGTCCTTGGGGGGGTTTAGGGTTCAGGGGTTTAGGGTTTAGGGTTTAGGGCTCTGAACGGCGAGGGTCCCCATTGCACTCCACCCTGGAGATACTGCTAATAAATGGGCTAAAAAGGCCCCAAAGTATTCTATGAATGGGCCGTTTCGTTCTGGACTCCACAAATCGCTTGCCCGGCCCAAAAGCCAAACACACACTCAACACTTTCAGTGGACCAGCACTACTACTGCTGATACTACTTCTACTACTTCTCTTACTTCCACTACCATCACCACCACCACCACCACCACAACCACCACCACACCACAACCACCACCACCACCACCACCGCCACCGCCACCGCCGCCGCCGCCGCCGCCACCGCCACCCCACTTCCACCACCACTTCCACCACCACTTCCACCACCACTTCCACCACCACTTCCGCCACCACTTCCACCACTTCCACCACTTCCACCACCATCACCATCACCATTCCACCACCACCACCACCACCACCACCATTCCATCACCATTCCACCGCCATTCCACCACCACCACCACCCCCACACCCCCACCACCCCCACCACCCCCACCACCCCCACCCCCACCCCCACCACCACCACCACCACCGCCACCGCCACCGCCACGCCACCGCCACCACCACCACTACAACCACCACTACACCACCACTACAACCACCACTACCCTACCACTACCCCTACACTACCCTACGACTACCCCTACCACTACCCTACCCTACCCTACCACTACCCTACCACTACCCGACCACTACCGCTACCACTAATTCCCACCACCGCCACCGCCACCGCCACTGCCGCCGCCCCCACCCCCACACCCCCACCCCCACCCCCCCCCCCCCCCCCAGCCCCACCCCCCCACCCCACCCCCACACACCCCCACCCCCACACCCCCACCCCCACCCCCACCACCACCACCACCGCCACCACCACCACCATCACCATCATCACCATCACCATTCCACCACCACCACCACCATTCCATCACCATTCCACCGCCATTCCACCACCACCACCACCACCACAACCACCACTACCCTACCACTACCCCTACCACTACCCTACGACTACCCCTACCACTACCCCTACCACGACCCTACCACTACCCTACCACTACCCTACCACTACCCTACCACTACCGCTACCACTACCGCTACCACTAATTCCCACTGAACACAACAGTACACAGTATCGGAAAGGAAAGAAGAAAAAACAACCCCTGGCACCACCACCAGTCTGAAGCATGTGTCGTAGACGATGGGATTCTCGGGCTGGCCGGCGCGGACAAAGTAAGCATGTAAACCTCGCTCCGGGCATGCCGTGTAGGCTGTTTTTTGGTGTAGGCCTCTCGTGGCTTGGGTAGGCCTGGTCTCCACTGTCAGCAGCTTAGTGCATGGAGGTTAGGGTTTGGGGCATCAACCGCTAACGTCATCAGATTTCAAGTGTTAAGCGCAACCTAGAGGAAACATCCGACAGAGCACATAGCAAGTGAGCTGCCAGGCCGAAGTACAAAGCAAACGCAGTCCAAGATGTCAGCCAAGCTGCTGTGCAAGGAAAGTCCAGATGCCTCACCAGTGTGCCGGTGCTCACCCCCAGAACCTCTTGAAGACCTCTTATCCGCCAAGGTCTCGGGCCGAAGGTGTATGGGTTGTGAGAACAGGCACCCCCCTCCAAATCCTCACATCGGCACCCTTTTTTTGCCTGGAATGGGTACCCCCGCAGTAGGCGACCATCTGAAAGCGGACGGTTCGCCAGGACCAGGGGCAGTTGCCCCGCCCAGTAGGTCCGTCCCCTGCCCCCCCCCACCCCCCCCTTGCGCCCTCCCCCCTTTTTGTTTGAGGGGCCCGCGGCTCGGCCGGTGTGACCGTCTAAACTTGGGCCTTGCACTGTAAACCCAAAACCCCAAACCGTAAACCTTGAGCCTAAGCCCTCAAGCCTAAACTAACCCTCAACCCTAAACCCGGAACCCTAAACCCTAGTTAGATCCAACCCTGATTGCTTGGGGTCCAGCGACTTGGGCGCTGCGGAGTCACCATGCTCACGCGGATGCGCTTGGCCGGGCCGAGGCGGGTCGCGTAGCGTTAAAATTAGTCTTCATGCGGCTGTCACAGCCGTGCCTAACATATCTTTCGATGAAAGCTGCGGGTGATAGATGCTGCTAGGCAAGTGCCATGCGCTTGTAGCCTGGAGCAAAGCAACATGAGTTCATCTGAGAGGCGACCGTCTGACTGGCGGCAGCCAGAGCCTGCCCCAGCACCTGCAAACAAAACATGAAACCATCTGGAACCAAGTCCTCCGAACCTCAAAGACTTTCTTGAGCCCGGCCTCCAAGCTGAAATCCCAAAACCTGACGAGCCCTAAACCCTACAAAGTAGAAAACTTACTCGCTGCCGACGCTGCGCCTGACCGCCAAACACGGCCCGGGCACCGGGGGGCTTCCAGAGGATCTCGGGCTTGGCTACGAAGAGGTTCCTTAAACCCGAGAGCTTCGGTGGGGGGAGGGGGGGGGGGTTGGTTGCGTCCGTTTTCTTAGCCACCCGCGCTGCCTGTGTAGGAATTTTAGGATTGAAGGCTTTTGAGGGTGGAGGAAGCCTTCGGCCTTCGGAAGCAAGCTTAGACTCGGTTCTCAGGTTTTGGGGATGTTGGAAGTCGTTGGAAAGGGAGGTGCCTCCCGGCCTGCCATCTTGGCCACAGCGTTGTCTTGTTTGGGTGATGTCCGTCGTAAGAGGACTGCCAGCATGGGCTCAAGCCACCGCAGCAGTTCCAGGAAGAGAAGCTGCCTTCGACTCCTAGACCTTCGACCCGAAGCCCATGCCCGAAACCCTAAACCCTAAACCCTTTTGAGCACGGACTGAGGAAGCTCTAAACCCTAAACCCTAAACCCTTTTGCATCCATTGGGCAGACCCTAAACCCTAAACTCATTCACCAGAAGCACCGCCCATCATGAGCCAAGCCAAGCTTCGGGTCGATACGGTCAAGCACTATTGCCTCATGTTCGGCACACTGAGCACGGCCGCAAAGCATCAAGAGCCGCTGGAATCACCAGCTAGGCACGAGCATGAGAGGATGAGAACCAAAGGAAGAGACCAACAGTTGGATGAGCAATCGTCTGAATAGTCTGAGCTGCCTGAAACACATTCTGCTGGGGTGGCCCCTCAGGCGCACCTTTGCGCTGTCCTTCTAAGCTCGTCTTTTCTTCCAACTCGTCTCCTGAAGTGCCGGGGTCATGTGGGGATGTGGGCCTCTCAAAAACTCATCCTTCAGGCTCACAGCCCAGGTCCTTCGGAAGAGTCGGCCATGGCCCTCCACTCCCATCTGCTGCTACTTGCTCTTGAGACTCAAGGACAGCGGACGCGCAACTCAACTTGCAAGCGATGCGATGGGTTTCAAACTCCGGACATGGTTCTCTTGCACCCCTGTCCCAACTTGCCGAGCTATGAAACAACGAAGCATCAACACTTCATGGATGTTCTGGTGACTCCAAACTGGGATGCTGCTCCAACAAGTGGACAAGCACTTGGTTGCCTTCAACAATGTGCGGGCAAGAGGCAAAAGAGTCGTCATGCGTACCGCTGTCCAGGCCTGCACTTCACGTCAGTCAACTTCGAAGCTTCATCCGCCATGCCTCAGTACGAGCCGAGGGGCGCCACACAAACCTCGCCGGAGCTCGCGGTACAGGTCTTCGAGACCAACCTGCAAGAGAGGACGCCCTTGGCCTGTTTGGATGTGATTCAGCGGGTAAACGCAAATCGGTAAGGCATATCCGGAGAAATCCTGCCTGCAGGGAGTCGAAACTTGATCTGATTCAGGGGTCCTTTTGTCAGCTCCTGCTGGTTGAGTGCGTCATTCTTCTCCTTCTTGGCCGTAGTCTGCTGCTCCATCGGTACAACCCTCGCAGGAGCCGTGGATGGCACCTCCATATGGTGAGGGCGTATCTTGGAGTACCCCCAACCTCATTGTGAAGGTGTAGGTGCCCCCCGGCCTGACGAAGCTGTTGCTTCACCATGAGCGCTGCTCGGAGGCTTGGCCACCTTGAGCTGCTTCCGCCAGCGTTCACCACCAGCCCCTGCGCCTCCGCCTCTGCAGGACTTCGGACATGCATATGTATGTATACTTACGTATACTTCTGTATATTTATGTATATTTATTGCTCTGAGTTCTCCATGAACAGAGAACTGCAGGCGCATGAGAGGGGTGGTGGATTTGTCTGCCCTCGCCTTGTATAAGTGAAACCCGAGAACGCGTCAAAACGAGGCCCCGGCGTTTTGCTTTGCGGCGGAGAGCCGAGTAAGAGGTGCCCAGCGTGCACGGGCTGTCGGCTGGCCAGGCTGTGTGCTTGGTCCTGACGGGTATGTTACGGCATCTCTGTTATTGGGAAACCCTAAACCCTAAACCCTAAACCCTAAACCCTAAACCCTAAACCCTTTTTTGAACCCAGGCTCTGAGCATCCCTAAACCCTAAACCCTAAACCCTAAACCCTAAACCCTAAACCCTAAACCCTAAACCGCCTTAAACCCTAAACACTAAAGGAGCAAACGGCCCTTCTGGACAGGATGGACGCTGTCCGAGGTCAGTTTCAGAACCTACACTCCATCAGCCCGTCGCACAGTTCACATCGCTGCATACCCCTAAACCCTAAACCCTAAACCCTAAACCCAAAACCCAAAACCCGAAACTCCATGAATCCCTCCAACGAGTGCATGAGTTGGTCGATCCAAGCGTCGCTTGGCGACCACCTTCTCTTGCTGGTTTCGCTCTGTGTTCGCCTGAGTGAGATATGGTGGTTCCGAAATTGGGGTACCTTACTGGGGTCCATGTAATCAGGGAATCCTACTATTTCGGGGTCTATGTTCGGGTCACCGGTTTTTCGTAAACCCCCCATCTATGATAGGTGCGACCTGTACTGCTGAATCCAGATTTGCATGGCCAAGCTCCACGCAGCATCGGTCGCATTCCGACATATTAGCGAGGGTGACTCCTCAAATCCACACGCAAATCCACAGCACAAGATTAAACGTATTTCTCAAATTACGGAGAACAGGGCCTCAAAATAATGTGACAAGTGGCTTCCGCTCTCTCAGATAGCCAGCCGCTGGATCGCGAAGATAACGGCTCGATTTCTTTTCCCTCGCTGCAACTACTCTCAACTTTCTAGAAAATGCAGCCAGGCGCCTTCAGAGATTCACCCACGTTGTTCTGACAACGCAGCTACCCTGTAGTCAGTGTAGCATTGTCTCCTCCTAATGCACAAAAGCCACTAATCATTCACGAATCAGAGCCCCTTGTGCCAAGATGCGTTGGCCAGTGCAACACTGGAGATGCGCTTCTGACGTTTTCTTCTCCCATCCTCTGTGATTGGTGACTGCATGGGTGCCTTCGCAAGTGGGGCTTCGTTCTTCCCCGTAGTGTGGTTGCTAAGTAGTTACAAGAAGAGCCCCATTGACGCCAAGCTTTGCAAGCTACGAAGAACTTGAGTTGGGTGCGCGGGAGCACACTTTTGCAACCAAACACTCCACCGAGGATCACTGTGGACAGCAAAGCACCCTCGGCAGCAGGTATTCGGCCTAGATGAATTTCGGAAGACAAGATTCAGCACTCTTAAACTTGCATCTGCTAAAAGGAGCCAAAGTTCGTCGTGTACGGATAAGAAGTTCATGTGCCGGAGGGGAAGTGAGATGCCATCTCGTGTGAGTGGTCTATCAAGGATATGTTGCACTGGAACTGAGTCTGTTGCTTAACGCAGTCTAGCTTGTTGAATGTAGCACAAAAGTCACTCGTCACGTCATGGTGGATCATAAGGCTTGGCGCGAACTACATCAACAAACATGCATACCGACTTTCATCCCGACAACAACCACCACTGTCGGTTAGTAGCGAATGAGAGAATTAGGTACCCTATATAATCCCTTAAAGGGTATATCATACAGGGGGTCTAGGGTACCTCATTCCTCCACTTCCTTCCTCACCAACAGTAAGTTTCTGGACCCATGCTGGCCTCAGCCTCAATCGCCGGCGTCCCCACCTCTGTGGGAGACCATACGCTGGTGCTTGGCCTCGATGCCTTCGCTGAAGAGCGCTTTCACACCCCAGAAATCCCATGTTTGTTGGCACCCTTGGTACACTTCTCCATTTGTGCGTGTCATCCTTTTCCCAGGTTTAGGGTTTAGGGTTTCGGGTTTAAGGTTGGTTGGGGGTGACCGAAGCCAACGAAAGCAAGTCCAAGTGTGTGGGGCTAAACCCTAGGCCCTAAGCCCCAACACCCAAAGCCCTAAACGACTAAACCCCGGAACCGCCCTGAACCCCAAAACCCTGAACTCCTGTTCAGCAGGGTCTGCAGTGCGCTATGTCCGGGGTTTGTTTATTTAGCCTCTTGTCAGCAGAGAACCCCGAAGCCCCCAAACCCCTAAGTCCCAGACTGCTAAGCCCGAAACCCCACACGCTGACGGGCTGAGACGCACAAGCGGTGCTGCTGTTGCTCTTCGTTCTTGTGGCTGAATTCCATGTTGACTTGTTCAATATAGAGCCTCCCTCCAAACGGCCAGGTTCTGTTGAAAGGATCAATGTTGAAGCCCCCCCCCCCCCACCCTCCTCCAGAACAACAAAAACAAAACAAATTCCTGTAAACCAGTCAGGATTTGACCCCTCCCGCTCAAGCCATGCTCCACTGGCTTTGGTCATCTCATCCTAAACCTTAAGCCTTAAGCCCTAAAACCAAAACCGCAGTCGTGTCGATTGTGCCGTGCCCTCCCAACTGCCACGCTGCACTCTGTCGCCCTGACGCATCCGCCTCTGCTGAGGCAGCCTTGCAATGGGCAACACATATTATAATGCAATATAATATAACATAATGTAATATAATGTAATATAATATAATATATTAAAATATATATATATATATGTATATACACACACATATATATATATATATGTACACACACACACATATATATATATATACACATAATGTACTTTTGTTTATTCCTACATACTTCTACAAGGTATATATGTACGAATTTTCATGACTAAGCAGTCTGACTTACACATGAGTGGCCAATTAACGGCGACTCGGAATGCAATTCAGCTTTTTTACTATGCTATGTGTTGCAATCAAAGGTTGCTTCTGCCAGCTAGATGACCTACAAGAACACGAACAAAGAACAAGAACAAGAACAAGAACAAGAGCAACAACATTGCCTTTTACTAACATTGTTTGCAGTCTCTGACAAGAGCATATAGAAAAAATAAACTCGTAGTTATGTGAGTCCTCCCAACTTGCAATCGTAGTTTCAAAGCCAATTTGAGCAACGCAGTTGGAGGCCAATTCAATTACTCGAAAAGTTTACGCCATGATGAAATGGCTGCTGAATGAAATAGCTGTTAGAACTAGGGCTACACTTTACCAAAAACATGTATAGAGGGTTCGCTTTTGATCATTCTTGCCCAAAACTCCCAAATCTGTGCGTCTTAGACCCCATAGACTTCGGAAACCCTAAGTGGTAACTTCACCTGCCTCGCTGGGAGTCACAAAATGTCGCGACCCGATATGCGGCTCCGCCTCAGAATCAAGGCCGTGAACACCAGAACTGTCAAAGCTGCTGCGCTTCCTGGCCAAGAAAACCCTTCTTGCCCTTGCCTGCTGCGCTGTCGCTGATGCAGCTGCTCCCAGTGCAGGGATGATGTCCTGTCGTGTAAAACTCATGCGGCACGAGCGCCAATGCATGTCACAAGACACATCATCTTCTTTGGGTGACTCTGCGTCGGCCTCGTCCGGAGACGTAGAAACGACTTCCTTGCCACCCGTTTCTGCCATTTCCGCCTGCTCAGCTCAAACTGAACTCCCGGATGAGCAAGCCTGAAGTTTCTCCTCATGGGCCTTGCTCTGCGTAGGAGTCGCTTCCCGTCCTTGTGGCGGCTCCTGTGAGCGTGGCCCGGTATGCTGGAAAAATGCGGAAATCAAGCAGCTCACAGCCTCCACAGGAGGCGAGGAACAGTTGGCAGATGGTTCCCTCTGGTCGGCCGTCAGTGTGGCATCCTGAGTTCAACGACAGCACGCAAATTCTTCTCAGCCTGGCAGGGGATGGCAGGGGTCTTTGCCAAGCACGACACATCCCAACCAGGCATGGTGCGGGTGCCACCAAGAACCCGTAGCGGTTTACACGAGGCAGTCTTCACTGTCCTCTTCCCTCGCCGGTTCCACTTCAGTTGGAGTTTGGGGCCGTCTGCTGGATATGGCCGGGGTGTAGCCCCAGCCCGAGCAGCTTTTTGGGTCTAGAGCCGGAGTTTAGACAATCCACCTAACAAGGAAAGCAGGAGAAGGTCAGTGGCTGGTGCATTGCTTGACCGACACGGCTTGGGCCTTTGAAGAAATCCAAGGTGCCGAACTGGCAACTGACAACACCGCTGTCTTATCCAGCTGCTCTGCAGCGTTACCCATCAGTGGCTAGAAAACGAGCTGGACTCTGTCAGCGCACACAAGGATGCAGGCAAGTCGAGGGGGCTCCAGGCATCACTTCTGGTCAACTAGCGCTACTCTTCACTATAGACCTCCAAACATCACAAGTCCCGAGCGCATGGTGCACTTCGTTTGCCCCTGCCGGGCTCCCAACAATGGCGTTCTCAGCCACCGGAACCGACCTTCGGCGCGTCCTCGCTGCAAACCGAGCACTGGAAACTCCAGGGCCACTTAACTCAAAGGCTGTCAGCAACGAAAAAACAAGCGCCTCATCGTGATTTGGAAAAACAACTTGCAGTGAAATGCCCATGCGGCCTGCCGGCCGAGCCAGATCGCGCACGCCGGTCCTGTGGCGACTTCTGCCGCGCGCTTTGCACAAAGGACCCTACCCTGAACTTCCCTGAACCCCGAATTTTTTTCCCGATAGACTCTAGACCGCACAGGGCTCGGAACTCCTGCGCTCCGCTGTACTTCCGTGACGACGTTGAACGACTGGGGAGAGCAGCCTGCCAAGAGCATCGTAGCAAGTCGATCCGACCGTTACAAAATAAAATAGAATAGTAAGTATAATACAATATAATGCAATGCAAGGCAATGTAAGGACATGTCTCTGAAAATAAAATTAATATTCTAGTTGAGATAATCAAATAATAACATGATCGATTAAGAGCCAAGCGACTGGCAGACTGGTGCGCTCCGACCGCTCCCGGGGCACTTTGCTTGATCTTTGTCTCGCCGACGCAGGTTGAGGTTGATTCTTTCCTGCGTTCTTGTCCCCCTGTCCAGGAGAGGCCAACTTTGGGCGGCGTTCGAAGATCGCATGGCACGCTGTGTGGCTCTTGGACCGGAAGGGCCTGATCTTCTTTTGTGGAGGGCTTCGGCTGCGGCTTTCCTGTGCCATCCGTAGCCTTCTCCTGAATCAGAAGACAACACCTCACTCAAAGCATCATGGCACTGACACTGTTGCCCAGATTCACTCCAGACTTGGGCAACAGTTCGCCTAGGCTTCACACTTAAGTTGTCACGGAGGTCCTTGGCATGCTCTTTCTTGGTAGAACTGCGACGGCGCCGCTTGGAAGCCTGCCGCCGACTTGTAGGGTTTAGGGTTTAGGGTTTTTTTTTTTTGCCACCCGCCTAGCTGACACTCAGGCCACGTTGCAGGGACTAATACCGGGTTTAGGGTTTAGGGAATTTTAGGGACATGGGTGGGTCTCCGAAATTCGGGGATACCCTGTTGGGGCCCTCTTTTTGTACAAGCGGATGGGGCCCCTTTTTTGTAAAACGGGGATCCTACTATTCGGGGATCTACAGTATATCGGGGGTCCCCCTATTTCCGTGAACCCCCCAAATGAAGTGCGGCATTTTGCAGGCCTCGCGGCTCGGCTTCGCATCCTGGGTGCCTTCTGTGACCTAAGTGGGGGTTTACGAAAATAGGGGCCCTCCCAAAAAAGACCAAATAGTAGGGTTCCCTTATAACAGGGACCTGTAATTTTCAGGAAACCACCAAGTTGACACTCAGGTCCCCAGCAGGGCCGTAGGACATAGAAGTAGTGGTACATAGCATTCTCAGGAACCCATCATGTCATTCAAGTGGGACCACCACATTTGTTGCCAGCTCTTCTGGCGACGGGTGCAGTAGCCTGCTGGCCGCAGTTAAAAGAGGCACCTATAGACAGCCGTGCGCACACTCTGGACCCATGGACCTCCCTATGGGCCGTTGTTGTGGGACATGGAAGCTCTGTAGTTGGAGCTTGATTCTCATCGTCTCTGAAAGAACATTGTTCGACTCACGTATCCAGGCTTCTGGCATACAATGCAAATGTGTGGTGCTCCGGAGAAGCGTGCAAGCACCCAGATATAAACGCACGCACATGTTCGTCACACGCACGCTGCACAGGGCAGTGCCCTCACTGGGGTTGACATGTGCACCTAATGCCACACGCACAGTTTGAGCATCATCTCGTGAACCCCCAACGCGGAGGATTTGTTGGGTCGGGCACCTCGTTCTCCAAGCTGCCGATGATGTCATCCACCTTTCGTCTCGGGGATCGATTTACTTTGGAAGTCTACGCGTGCTCTGAGTCTCTGCAAAGAGTAAACTGTATATCCACATCCGAACGCGTTCCCTGAGGGCCTGCACTGTACTGTCCTAATCCTCACGGGTTGTTCTAAAAAGTCAGCTACAAAGCAAACCTGGAAGAGTTGCGGCATGGTTCTTCAACCTTTTGCATAGCAATGTCCTGAATCCCGCACAAGCGGATACAATCTAGAGAACAAACAAGAAACTGAACCCCCCCCCCTCCTCCCCCCCTCCAAAAAATGCAAATAAACAAAACAAGTAAATTACCAACAACAATGAAACAAACAAATAACAATAGACAGCAACAACAAATTAGTGATTTCAATATGATAAGAATCCATATGAAACGAGCCTACAAATATAGATATTACTTCAGGGAATACCCATTATCACAAAACCTTTTTTGGAGGAACACAGTGCCAGCCTTACTAATTTCACAGGAACATGCATCTCGCTAGCTAATTGGACGTCTTCTTTGAAGGAAAGGCTTCGCTCTAGTCATGCTATCTCGTTAGTAGTTCTGCTTTGAGAAAAGGTTTCTCCCACAACAAAAGCATCGCCAAATCCAAGACTTAAAGCATGCCAGATCCAAAGCACGTGAAAGAACCCGTAGGATGCCGTAGGCAGAGCGGTGATTTAGGGATGCCTGGCATGTCATTTGGTGAATACTTTGTGGGCACGGCTTTCTCCGTGGTACTTTTGGGGGGCCCGAGAGGAACGCGCTTTTTACTTCCCTTTTCCCATGGAACTTCGATAGCGAGAGAGCGAGAGAGATAGAGAGAGAGAGAGAGAGAGAGAGAGAGCGAGAGAGAGAGAGAGAGACAGAGACAGAGACAGAGACAGAGACAGAGACAGAGACAGAGACAGAGACACAGACAGAGACAGAGACAGAGACAGAGACACAGACAGAGACAGAGACAGAGACAGAGAAAGGAAAGCGATAAAGAGAGGAAGACAGAAAGAGAGAACGAGAGCAACAGAGCAAGAGAGGAAGAGAGGAAGAGAGCAAGAGAGCAAGAGAGCAAGAGAGGAAGAGAGGAAGAGAGGAAGAGAGGAAGAGAGGAAGAGAGGAAGAGAGGACGAGAGGACGAGAGGACGAGAGGACGAGAGGACGAGAGGACGAGAGGACGAGAGGACGAGAGGACGAGAGGAAGAGAGCAAGAGAGGAGGAGAGGAAGAGAGAAAAAGAGGACGAGAGGAAGGGAGGACGAGAGGAGGACGAGAGGCGGACGAGAGGAAGCGAGGAAGCGAGGAAGCGAGGAAGAGAGGAAGAGAGGAAGCGAGGAAGCGAGGAAGCGAGGAAGCGAGGAAGCGAGGAAGAGAGGAAGAGAGGAAGAGAGGAAGAGAGGAAGAGAGGAAGAGAGGAAGAGAGGAAGAGAGGAAGAGAGGAAGAGAGGAAGAGAGGAAGAGAGGAAGAGAGGAAGAGAGGAAGAGAGGAAGAGAGGAAGAGAGGAAGAGAGGAAGAGAGGAAGAGAGGAAGAGAGGAAGAGAGGAAGAGAGGAAGAGAGGAAGAGAGGAAGAGAGGAAGAGAGGAAGAGAGAAAGAGAGAAAGAGAGAAAGAGAGAAAGAGAGAAAGAGAGGAGAGAAAGAGAGAAGAGAGAAAGAGAGAGAGAGAAAGAGAGGAAGAGAGGAAGAGAGGAAGAGAGGAAGAGAGGAAGAGAGGAAGAGAGAGAGAGAAGAGAGGAAGAGAGGAAGAGAGGAAGAGAGGAAGAGAGGAAGAGAGGAAGAGAGGAAGAGAGGAAGAGAGGAAGAGAGGAAGAGAGGTATACTCCCCATTTTCAAGGTGCTATGCTGTAGATCAAGCCCCCCCTCCCCTAATGCTTCACAAGGCCTCGCTTGCAACGAGGTCCGTCTCGGGCATGTGGAACTGCAGCTCACCATCGTCCGCAGGAGCCGCCTTTGAAGTCCTTGGGGGGATAGTCGGCAAAGATGTTGATTTCAACTATGTGCCCTAAGACAAATCGGCAAGTCGGCAGAAATCGAGGGTTCGTGTCCAGAGTCTAGTCTGGGGTGTGGGACCCCAGGCTGACTGACTCTGGGCAGCTTCACACATGTTTGGGGAGCAAGCTTTATGTCGGAGCCCGGAGAAAGGGGTTGGCGCAACACGAGACGGGCTTTGCAAGGTTGGTTGCGTGGCCCAATGACTGTAGTGTGAGAGCGCGGTGGATCCGCTGCTTCTAAGTCTCAGCTCTGCTTGAGACTCTCGGGCATCCCGGGCGCTTTTGTGTGGCTGCTGCTCCTTGACACACGGGGGCTTACAATATTTGGGGTACCTGAATGTGGTCCTTATTATAGGGGTCCCTTGCTATCGTAAACCCCCACATGCACGTGACAGTCTGTTGCATGCTAGTTCGCCCCAAACATCGCGCACTGACTCCTGCTTGCCGCGGCCTGTCTTCCACACCTTTGCGTGGCAGCGCTTCACATTTCTAAGCCAAGCCAGCCATTTCATTGCAGACCGATTCATGCCGCAATGCTGGCTGCAAGGATTCCCTGTTCAAAAATCGAAGGCGGCCCACTTTTTTCTGGTCTACACATTGCAAAAACGCCACTCGCACAAGAGGGCGCCGAACATCAGGTTCAGCAACTACGGGAGAAGACGCCAGATCCTCTGCAACATCCAAGGCGTAATGTATGCGACCGAGGGAGTATCACTAGAGTGCACACTTGCGTGCAGAGTGCATGAGAGAGAAAATCAAGGATCTGGTTAACGCAACATGTGACACATGCCCGCGCTCCAGCAGGAGCTAACCCGGCCGCTGACGGCGGGTCTTCGCGGCATTCTACGCAACGCACAATGCAACGGATCACTGGTGAAAGCAAATGCTTCTGGCCCAGGGCCATCTCTGGGGTGTGGGGGCGGGTGGAATGATGTGTTGGCGTGGGGAGTGGGTCAGAGTCTTCTTCTGGATTCTAGATCCCTGTTGGATACGGTGGGTCGGAGTCGCCTTCGGCGTCGCCACCTGGTGGCTCAGGCTGGCACGAGGCCGGAACGCTGGAAAGATTCGGCGTAAGCTTATGCTGCAGGTGTTTGAGATCCATGGCTTTCATGCGGTGCTCCGCGGGGGACTCAGAGTCAAGTGGAGCCAGAGGAAGTGACGACCCTGCCTCTGAAGTAGTGTCCGGGTACCTTTTGCGGACCTGGCACCTCCGAACAAACTTGAAGCATTCCGTACACTCCGCCTTGAGTTCTGCGAGCATGTCCTGCAAGGCTTTGGTGGCAAGGTATGCCTCGCGAAGCAAGCATGTGCAAAACATGCATGGCTCCAGAAGCCCTGGTCCGTGCACGTGCTGGCTACACTGCTACACCCTGCGACCTAAAACTCCATCTACAAAGCCCAAAAAAGCCGAGGGGCTGCCACAGCATCAGACTTGCTGATGTCCCCACGCATCTTCAACAAGCCATGTAGAAGCTCAGCCAGCTGGAGAGTGCCGCTACCATCCGCATCGATGATCTCAAACATGTTGGCACGGTCTGGGGGTAAGTCGAGGTCGTTCATCAACCTCTGGACCCCCCTGTCCTGAATGATGAGTAGAAACATCTCCTTCGTGATCTCCATGTCATTCATTCCATCCCGAGCCAGCATCTTCGACTTCTGCAGCGGCTGCTTCATCTGTGCCAAGCGCTCCCCATTGTCCGGACTGTCTTCCATCTCATGAAAAGTGTGATACGCCGCCTGGAACTTCTTAAGAAGCTCACGAGTTGCCCGAGCAACCCGCACACTCTCCCGCGAGTATTGCTCCGCTGTGACGGCATCGTTCTCCTTTGCCGCCTTCATAGTGATGTCGACATACACCGCAAGAATCACATTGAAGATCCCCATGGATACAAGCATGTAGCTGACAATGTAGCCCATAACAAACGGCCACCCAAACGCATCCTTCAAGATAACCGCGAGCGGGCGTCCATAGTCGTTCGTGCACTCGCCAGTAAAACAGCGGAATGCCGTGAACATGGTCTGAGGAATGTCAGAGAAAAAGCTGCTCAGCTCAAGCTCTTCTGTCAGCGGGTCGGCTCCAATAGTAATTGCTGTGAAGCCAGATATCACATAGAGGACGCCGACAAGCAGCAAAAAGGCCAATGTGAGTGTGCGTAGTCCTGCTCATCTTCTACAACTGGCAGCCCTGAACATTAAATTGGAAGAGGGCCCGACTTAAACTTTTGAGCTTCTCCAAGGGGCATATGCAGACCTGCCTAACCAGAGACTTGTTCGAGTTACCAGGTTTCGTCGAGCTACCTTAACGATTGGAAGGTTGGGTCCTGCGATCAGCCCCTTCACCATGAGACGGAGCTCCCGCATCGCTTTCATCCGGAAGACTTTGACAATCCGCACCATGCGAATCAGCCTGCAAAACCTCAGGAGCGAGGTGGCATTTGCATCAATGCCCACGTCCTGCAGCATCAGGAGGAGGGCGGCGTCAAGAATCCCAGTTGCGGCCAGGAAAAGGTCGAAATAATTCCAATATCGGTCTGGGCCACACCTGGATAGCAGCCCACTCAAGAAGCTTAGTCTTTGACATCTGAAGAGGGAGTTCCGCACGTTTTCCCCCTGAGGCTCATTTTTGAAGCTCGTTTTGCTGAAGCTCCTTTTGAGGTCCTTTCGTGCGCAGCGCAGAGTCCGCCAAATTCGACTTCGCAGCCTTCGCGTTGATATCGCCTTCAAAATGTCGTCGCGTCGTAAATCGTCTTCTCCCTGTTGCCAAACGGATCAAGAACTAAACAAACGTCTTTAAAAAGTTCGTCTTCACATACCCCAAAAACGTACTCAACATCAGCCTTCATGTCGTGAATCGTCTTCGCCTTGTGACCACACACAACCCCGACCATCGCCCTCAAAAGATGTCTTCCCCCCTTGCAACCCTCCGACAAGCAAGACCAGAATCAGACACATAACCCTAAACCCAAAACCCAAAACCCAACCCTAAACCCTAACTCAACTCCTAGATCGCTGGCTATCACGCCCGCTCGCGACCATCTCTCTCTCTCTCTCTCTCGCGCGCAGAAGCTACGTATTGCGCGCTCGTGCTCGCGGACCGCGGCTGGCCGCCACGCAATCTAGGGTTTGGGGTTTAGGGTTTAGGGTTAGGGCTTAGGGTCTAGGGTTTAGGACTTGGCAAGCGCGCGTGCGGTCGACATTCGGGACAAATTGCCTGCACTCAGTTTCGTGCCACGCCTGAAAACACCACCATACTCCTGACAACCCTGCAAAGCTACACATGCTTGCTTAAAGCAAGAACAGCATTCCAAAAAGCAAGACCTATGGACTGGACCACGTCAACTCTGGGCGGCACCAGAACCGGTGACACCGCATGATGTACGTGCGGAGGCCAATCTCCAGAAGCAGCGTGCAGGTAAATGCTGTCTCCAGGGCAGGCCATCCACTCCAGTTTTCGTTGCCTGGGTGAGTTTGCAAACCAATCATGACGCCATTGGCAAGGATGAGAATGGCCACAAGCGGCTCCATGATCGTCAAGACGTTCATGCGTTCTGCAGGGCCAGCCAAGTCGTTAATTCGAACAAAAGTCAGCTCCGAAACAAGGCGATTCGTGTCCGCTGCCAAAAGGATCTCCGTCATCGCTTTGAACTGCTGCATTCGCTTGGCACCAAAGATCTTCTTGTGGGTCTCGCTCTCACTTGAAAGCAAGATGTCTATCAATGCCTGTGCAGGCACAACGTTGTAACTGCGCAAAGGGCGGAGGTCCTGAGCGCTTGTAAGCTTCTGGGTCACGCTTTTCTTCAGCTGTGGGCCATGGAGGTCCGACTCAACCCGCGCCGGCCAAGCCCACACCGGTCGATAAGCCACCTCACCACTGTGGAGCCAGCCTAGCTGTTGGCCAAACTGGATGCCATCGTGCTCCTGAGCTTCCTCTGCATCAATAGCCTCCTGAGCCAAGCTAGGACATGCGAGGGCTGTGTACTAAAAATCGCAAAAATGTTGAGCTCCACTGGTTTTTAGTTTTTCATGGACACCTTTCTTCACATTCGAGGGGATGAACGGCTCCTTTTTCAACATCAGTCGGTGCAAGCCTTAGGACCTCAGGACGTGCAGCCTACAGCCTGCGCGACTTGAGGAACCATATAAAGCCATTCAAGAGCTCTGATCTATAGATAACGTCTCTGAACAACATTGAACAACGTCTTTATCGCTTTTGTCTCGTAGCAGCCGTAAGCAAGTGTGCAGTACGCGCAAGGTGGTCCCGGAGTGGAATCGGCCCACTACGTTTCTGCCTTTTCCGCTATCCACAGAAATGGAGCGGTTCATTCATTCCAACCAGATTTGCAGATATTCTGGAAGCAGAAACACGGCAAACAAAACCAATACCCAAAACACATCAAAACCAAAACAAAAAGAACACAAATGGAAGCTGCCACTTCGAACCTCCCCCACCCTGTCCACCCAACTGCTGGGTTTACATTCCGGTACCATCCCTGGCGTGCCAATTCAGGTTAATGTTGGACCCTCTTTAATGTGTAGGGCCCCCCCCCCCCCCCTGAACAGTCGAGGCGTGGATGGGAGCCTGATTACACGGCCCCGGGGGCTTATATGATTTCAATAGGGGGGAGTTTAGATAGGTCGAAAAGGGGCAGCGATGCCCGGTTATCTTTTTTAAAGGCGCGCCACGTGGAATTTTCTTACGGCGCCCGGACGATTTGACTTTAAAGAGGACCCCGCAAACAATCAGGGGGTCCTGAATAATTCGGCCAAATTGACTTTAAAGAGGAGGCCCCTACTAAACAGGGTCCAACATTACTTTTCGGCATAATTGACCGCCTTTTCATAGGCTTCAGCTTTCGTATTCAGGCAATGTTTCGCTACAGTTGCCCTCCTGGACCTCCCTGCCCGTTCTATTGCAACGACATTCCGATGCAGTTGCCCGCCTGAGCCTCCCTGATCCCTCCTTCATGTTTAGTTACAGTTGCCTGCCTGCTGTCCTGAGCACGTCGCATCACAGGATGCGTGCCATGTCTCCTCAAAATTTAGCAAGCCCACTTTTAACGGGTTGAGGAAAATGGTAGTATGATTTAAGGAATAGTGCTTACTTGGGGTATTGGAATCTTTGGTGGCACGGCCCGCTGGAGGGGGGCTCCGGTGTCCGGAGCCTCCAATTTTCGAATTAAGGAATTTCGGAATATCCCGTAGATTGTCAGAGAGCCGTATGATTTAAGGAATGCTGCCTGCCTTCGGGTTGTTGGAGTTTCTGGGCGGGGGCCCGCTGGCCAGAGGCTCCAAAATCCCTTGCCTTGGGTTTAACGGGTACTGCATTACATGGCGAGGCCGCACTAGTGGGGCCCGTGCCTCTCCCTTTATTAGGGCATACAGGGTTTAGGGTTTAGGGTTTAGAATTTAGGGTTAAGGAATGTTGCTGGATTGTGAGGTGTTGCCTGGGGCTTCTTGGCTCGGCGGGGCCCGCTAGCGGGGCCAACGTTTCGATACAATCAGATGCCGGCGCCTGCGCCTCCATAAAGAAAGTCCGGATGCCCGCCTGAGCCTGCCTGGCATGCCGGACTCTTGTACTGCCTGGTCTGCTGTCCTGGGTCTTGCACTGCCTCAAAACCGTCCTACTTGCTGTCCTAAGCTCGTCGCGTCACATGATGCGTGCCACTTTGTCCTTAAACAATCTACCTCGTCCTTAAACTTGCTTTGTTTGTAATGTGTTTTGGTTCTGTTTGTGTGTTTTGCTGGTTTGGTTTTGTCCTAGTAGCTGCTGTCCTTTATGATTTTCCAATATTACCAACATACGTATTTTGAAGGACATACTAGACCTTCAGATACTTATCAATGATACCAACCCATGGGTTTCAAACATTATTCTCAACTTGGCAGCAACTGTAACTGCGGCTAAGACAAGCGGCGCCGCAAATAGGATCCGGAGTCCACGAGTGGCCCCGTAATTAGATACAGGTTCAAGAAATTCAAAGATGTGTTTGTTAGACTAGATTCTTAACTTCTTAACCATGTTCTGTGCTCCCCAATTGACAATTTCAAAGTCGAATTCAACGCAACTATTCTCATCAGATGCTAGTTATGCCACTGGCTGAGTTGCATGAGCAACTGGCCTATAAGTTAAACATAAGGCAGCATTACATTCCGTTTTATTTGGTTCGTCAGAGCAAGCGGCTTGTAATCAATGAAGGTCTGAGTTATCTTCCTGCACCCACGCCAAGAGTGCAACCGTTTGGCTACTTGACGAAAACGAATTGCAATATTAAACTGTTGTTTAATGTTGCATCATAGAATTAAGGCTGCAAATTCCAGTGCAAAGTGGTGTTCGCTTTGAGCGAACGACACTCACTTGGCGCATCGGGTGTCGTGTCCCAGTAGCTGTCCTTCATGAGTCGTTCAATATTATGGGCCACCTGGCCACCTGAGAAGAGAAACATACTTTCGGAGAAAAAACTCAGTCACTTGGTTTAAGTTCAACTTGGCAAGCCACACGGTTCTCACTATCCCTTAAAACCAAATAGACTAAGTTGTAAGCCGGGAGTCTCGATAAGCGCATGTGATCAAATACTAATCATCTGCAAAATGAATACTACCGAAGCACGCTAATCAAGCAAACGTAGCAAAACTGAGCGGGTCGATTTCACCCCTGCCCTTAAACCGGATCCTTTTCCATACAGGGCGATCCGAATCCCCTGGCCAAGGCCAACCCTGAAGCCACCTTGAGTGGGCACACCCTGGTTTGCTTAACCCCGAAGCCCAACAGTTTGAGGAAAGGCATGAGCAAACTTGGGCCCCGTCGAAGCTGAGCTTGATGAAGTCCGCCAGCAAATTCACAAAGTCATTCATGTCCTCCTCGGAATACGTTGTGAGGCCCAACGTGGAGACGGCATCGTGGATCAACTTGCCAGAGACCAGTGTCTTGGTGGACATGGCTCCAAGTCGCCACCGTAAACGATGTCGAACAGTACGGGCCTCCTCAGGGGTAAAACTTGCGAGTACTGACTGAAAAAGGACTGAGGAATCCCCATGAGGAATGTTCTCGTTCTCGACGTCGCTGGACGTCATCGATATCATCTGCTCCCCCTGTGCCTCGCTCCATACCGCTCGCGTGATCGACTGTACCGACGTACTGTGATTCCTCTTTATTGCAGACAGCCCACTGATGCTGCTCGGTGGGCTGCTGCCTTCTGTGTTGACACGAGATACTGGCCTACTATTCGTCGCAGCTGACAATGCTTGGGACACCTTTGGAGAGCGACCCGGGTAACCGTGGTGGCACTCGTCATATGCATCCACCAACCTTTCCCGAAACTCGTCACACAATCTGTCTATGGTGTCGGCAAAATCAACCGCTTCCATGGCATCCGCCGTGGCTCAGCTATGCTCGGCTTGTTTAACAAGCAGCGTCTCGGTTCGAGCCACAACGCTGAAATTGAAGCCCCGACGCACTGCGGCATGTACTTTGCCATGACTGCTTTGGGATGTTCCCCCTCATACTAACAGTTCTTCATCGGGATTATAGCACCCCCTACTAGAATCCCTCTCTAAGATTGTTAGTATAAGGAGGACAGACCAAACCCTAAACCCTAAACCCTAAGCCCTATAAGGGGGAACATACCAAATGGCTGTGCACCAAAAGGTGAAAAACAACTGCTCTGACCTCCGCCTTTGCTCCGAGGCGAGGACGGTACTTTTCCATGGCCTCCTTACAGAGCAGGTTTAGATACAACTTTACATCTATAATACAATTTGTATATGTAATATGTATATATATATACATATATGTGCCAAAAAAATATATGAAAAAACTGTATATATATATATATATATGTATATATATATATATATATATATATCTATTTACTTAATAATTTATTTGTTTTTTTAATGCAACTATGCAATGATATGAGCTTATAATCATAGGTTTGTATGATCCGCCGTCATCGTCCGAGATGCGAATGGGCGGCTTTTGGATCGGCCTTCGCAACGAGAAAGTCAAGGTCAGGAACCGAACTCCTCCTTTTGGGGGTTTAGGGTTTAGGGTTTAGGGTTTAGGGTTTAGGGTTTAGGGTTTAGGGTAAATCTGCAAACGCAGCACAAGGAACTCTTCAGCTATAGTAGCGCCCATGGGACAGGGAAGGCTGAATTGTTTACATCACCGAGGAAAGCCGTCCGGGCAGCCTGGGAGCCTGCCATTTGGTTGCGGGCATACCTTGGTGTCGCGAACATGCGTGTAGGTTTAGGGTTTAGGGTTTAGGGCTTAGGGCTTAGGGCTTAGGGTTTCGGGTTTAGGGTTTAGGGTTTAGGGCTACTCAAACGCCTTACTTGTCATGCTCGCTTGGTCTTCCTTGACATGTGGGTGTCTCAGGCAGAAGTGGGGAGCAACAGTCCTACAAGAAACCTGCTTTGCAGCCGTGCCGCGTCTTGGCCATGGCTTTGAGTATTGGACGGGAAATGTGGATGTTCTTGGCTGTTGACTTCCGCGCTGCGATGCAAGCAGTCTGCAGAGTGCACACGGTTAAAAAAAAAGCCAAACCCAATCGCTCTGCGCAGTCCAGTGTGAAGCCAAGTGTCTTGCAATGCAGCTATTGCTCCTGCGGCCTTTTGGGTGTACTGCTGCACCTGCCAACAGAAACCACGAAACTTCAATGGTCCCGACACACAATAGGATGCATGATGACCACGTCCAGCTGCACAGCGCGCCTACCGTTCTCTAAGCCGACGCAGTCTAGTGCGACGCTTGACTGCAAAAAAACTGACACTCCGACAAGCTCACAGACACGCATACGCATACGCACTTCATGAGAAAATGCATGCCGTCACACTTTTCAAAAAGACCATGTAGAAAAAGCCAGGACGTAGTAAAGGACGTGAACAATGTTAGGGCTAATTTTAAACGATTACTATGTCTTATGTGCCAGGCTTTGGCAACTGAGTTCTGCGACTGCCGTGCTTCGTGCTTTGCTGCAAGGACTTTGAAGCATTTCAGGGTTGAGGAAGTCGAGGAATTTGGGCTTGCGGATTGTTAACGTTCAAGGCTTGAGCTGTGAAGGCCATAGTCCAAAGCCAGATGGCCCTGCCACCCAGTCGGAGGAAGCTCCTTGAAGCATGGACTGAGGCCGGGGCCATCGACTTCACAATCTGAATATGTCCAGTCGACATAAATAATTGGAGATCTGCAAACTGGTATCTGTGATCTGACTTAGAGATTAAGGCACATCGGAAAACAAACTCTTGAAGCACAATAACATGAAACGTGACTGGCTTCATTCGCTGGCTACAAGTAGCGAGGTGCCACAAACACAACCCCAAACACAAACGCAAACGCAAGCGCAAGTGCAAACACAAACACAAACGCACGAAAACCAACGCCCACGCACCCGTACGCACGCACCCGCATTTGCGTGCATGCACACACGCACACGTGCGCAAGCGCGATGGGGAGGACTCATTTCCCCAAATGCAGAACGTATAGCAGACAGGCCAAACATCTCCGAACGCCGGCAACTTTCTCCAGCCCCGAAATGCTGATGGAGTGCTGCACTGCTACATCCGTGTCTTCTCCCGCGGGTTGGTTGCCTCGTCGGAGAACTCAAACGTCTCGAGAAGCGTTTTCAAGTTTCCCAGGCACTCTTCGACGTCATGCATCTGCCTGCCTCAGGTAGGATATGCGTGCGCTTGCAACATGCTTTAATTGTACTTTATTCTTTGGGAGCACATTGTTTGCATCTGGCCGGGAAGTCAACTTGCTACGCCGTGCACATACGCCAGGTAGCTGAGATGGGTTGTTGACAAAGCCTTTCGCAGATTTTTGAGCTCGTTGAGCAACGCCTTTCCTCATCTCGACCACTCGCTGTGGTGGCGAACGCCCCAAACAGGCATAATGCAAGACAGTGCCATGAAGCAACCTTAGCACAGTCGACCTTGCTAGTCAAGTCCTGGACCCCTTAGGCCCGTTTGGGCAGGCAGAAAAACTTAAAGGCCAAAAGCGGACAGTCAATCAAGGTATCACTTGGGCTAGGCATCGCGCCCTCAGAAACACAAGCGACCCCCCGCCCCCCCCAGAAAGGGCGAGCACCAGCAACATAACCAAGAAGCGTTTCTTGTCTTCCTTGGGGTCCACACCACGCTGCCGGATCCTCTCACCATGAAGGCACTCATGCTACGCGCCTTTGAGCTTGAAGGTTGAGCCACAGGCAATGTGGGCTCTTTGGGTTTTCGGATCTTGGTTCTCTCTGCGCTCAATACAGCTGTCTTGCTTAGCCATCTTCATCATTGCCCACGTGCGAGCTTGTACCGCAACGACCACACGCCCAGAAGATCCAATTGTTCCAAGGCACCTGTCCTGCCTCAGTTTCAGCTTTGAGCTGCATCCACCAGGATGGCAACTGGAGGGTTATCAAATATAGCTTGGCCTTGACGGCGACGGCGACTACCACTACTACCAGGCGAATGTCGCGTAATTCACGCTCACTTTACCCAGTTTATTCGTGGCTCACTTTTGATGAAAGTTTCGAATTGCCTTGTTCTTTGCTTGCTCTTCAGTTTAACAGGGTGGGGGGGGGGGGGGGGGTGGGGGTCCTACAGTAACCTCCTCCTAACTTGAACTTGCGTGCCTGTCACAGAAGCAGGTCTCGAAGGCCCTACTTCTTCCACTTTTAGGTGCTTCTAGGAGTCCGAAACTGCGAAAATCTGATATTCGTAACATGCAAGAACACCCTACTTCCTCTTCAGGAAATGGCAGCCTCACTTTACGATTTGACCCATGATACAATGTTCTTCCTGAATTAAATGTTTTTTCAATTTCTGGCGATCTGTTTGACTTTCTGTTGTCATTCGTGTAATGAGTTCTGTCCTTCTTTCTGCGCATGGTTTCTGGATGTCGTTGCTTCTTTGTGTCGTTCTTTGTTTCCGTTTTTGTGTCTTTATTCTTTCTACGTCAGTCGTTCTTTCTTTTTCTATTTTGTGTGTCTGGGGGAGGGGGTAAGCATCATATGGCGACCATGCTCAAAACCCTGGTATTTGGAATGATTTTCTTGTGGGGTGAAGGATTGGAGGGACATTAATATACATATATATATAATATAATATATATATATATATATGTATATATGTATGTATGTATGTATTTTTTTATGTACATATAGCTTTGACGCTTCCCCAAACGGGCCGAGCAACAGGACTCGGCGCAGCTCGGCGAGCCGGAGCAGCGCCTCCCGCACGCGGATGGCCTCCAAAGGCCCCCGAGGACTGGTCATCGGGGGGTTTCCTTTCAAATTAGGGGTACCTTAGGGGTACCTTAGGGTACCTTAGGGTACCTTAGGGTACCTTATGGTACCTTATGGTACCTTGGGGTACCTTATTGGGGTCCGTATTTTAAGGGGAATCCTGGAATCCTACGATTAGGTACCTTATTGGGATCCCTTTTGGGGGGAGAATCCTACGACTTGGGTCCCTTTTTTTGTAAACCCCCAACGAGCGCAACATGAGTGATGACACGCTCGACCAAGCCCCACCCCTAGCGCTGAGGCGCTTGCATAGACGGCGTTTCTCGGCGAGCAGATCTCCACAATGTGATCTCAGCCGACAGGCCAGGGCAAAAGGTCGCTTCCGTGCAGGCTGCTGGAAGCTGCTAGAACTGGAACATGTGACGAGCAGCCATCATGGGCAGATTCCACATCCACACCTCAGCTGTGAAGAAAGATGAAGAAAGCAGTCCCCCTTCGCGACGCAATGTCCAGAGATGGCCTCGCTGCCCTGACTTCCATTCCAAGCGGCCCATCACCTGAAGGAAGTGTTTCACCTGCTTCGTCTCCTGGCCATGCCAGGCGCGTCGTAAAGTCTGCAAAGTTCCACAGCCAGAGGTGCCGGTCGCTGGCCTTTGTTGCTTCCAAGACCAATCTGGCGATGCATCTCAGGCCTTGGCCCAGGGGTAGCTGCGACTGACACCAGCACATACATGCACATACCCTGGAACTCATCCTGAGTGCCCAGCTGCTCAAGTTTATCGGATCCGGAACGGGCGCCGCCTGGGAACTCGCAAATGTGAAGAGGCTTGTGGGACACCAGGATAAGGCAACCTGGTGGGTGTGCTGATCGTGGCAGATGCCCAGCCGTGATTTTGCTAGTTTTTTGGCACGATTCGGGACTGGAGCTTGGATAGGAGAGTTGCGACCTGCATCCTTGCTTCACGTACAGATAGTTCCATGTGCCAGGGCTCGTCACGGCCCAGTTCGTATGCCTCATCCAGCTGCAGCCGCTTCTTTCGGATCTCCTGAGCTCGCGGACGAGACAGAACCCGTGGCAACTTGTCGAGAATGCATCTCCATGTGTCTCCTCTCGGCTCCGAATTTCCTGCAAGACAGTCGTGCGCTGCCAAAACCTCGACTGGTGTTGGGAACCGAGGGTCGGAATAGATTCTTCTTGACTCCACGATGCTGGGCATTCCGCAAGAAGCGTAGAGAGCCAGCAGCTCACCATTGCCACAAGGAACGAAACCTTCCTCGTGGATGGGCCCTAAAGTTTCGACGAAGCCTGAGAGACCTAATAGGCCTAATCACCCAAACTTATCCGCAGCCTTCTTGAATTGAACTGGAAGATCCTGTTCCGCATCCTGGAGCCTGCTGTCACCCGTCCCTGACAGATGCACATGCCCAACATCGACCTACATGCCCTTATGTCTCGCTTCAGCCAGTGCCAGCAAGCAGCGGGGGTCACGCCAACAGTCTGACTCTTGTCTTTAAGTAGAAACAAGGCGACCGTGGAGAACCATTTCCTATCAAAACATGAGCATGTCTTCCCCAATGCACGTTCAGCTTTGGCTTCACTTAGCTGCAACTGCCGCTCACCATCACGCTGATAACGAACACAACATGTTGTACTGCATGGTGCGAATGGCAGCGTGCTCCCATCTCGCCTGAATCACAGGTTGACCAGCTTCCAACCTCAGGACCACTTTTCGGCGTTCATGGGGGTAGGTACCTCACAAGCCTTAGGGAAGCTTAGGCAGCCTTAGCGGGGAGTATTAGGGAACTTTCGGTTACATGCCACCCTTGAACCCACGTTCTGCATGACAGGTCAGGGATGCCAAAGGTATCGCAACACGGATCGACCTTGGACCGGGTTTTTTTTTGCAGGTTCATGGGCGTCGTTGCTGTGAAAGGCCCGGGCAGCACCTCATCGCTGCAGACTGAAGGCGGCTCCTCGTAGCAGTGTCGTGGGAAACGGGGCGGAGCATGCATCAAGCCACTGTAACCACATACACCAGCTTAGGCCTCAGAAGGTAGCCTCGGCCTGGATGGCCTCGGCAGTCGGTTCCATGGAAGCCAGGAGATGTGTGTCTGCAGCATGTGGCTAGGCTGTTCCGCTTCCTAGGGAAAGTCGAAGACAAGAATCCATGGCAACGGTTTTCTAGGGACCCACCTAGAATCGAGGCAGCCACAGAACAACTTGGACAAACAAAACACGACGCGTTGTTCGCGAAATTCCCATTTCCTTCGATGCCAGTTCAAACTATTGGGAAGGGTCAGGGACGCCACTTCGAGCTGAGAGGTTTAAGTAGCCTATGTCGATGTTCTCTATTATACTCTCTCCAACCCTCACACGCTTCGGCAAGCTGCGCGTCGCAGCTGGACGTCTCTCAGCGCTTCTTTCGCGCCCGCAGCCCATGATTCGAAACCGGCCCGGCCGTCGCGACCAACTCAAAACGTGAAACTCAAGGCATCTCATGCCGACATGCTAACTTCCGTGAGGGCCTGCTGGCGCCCAAAAAGCAAAAAACTTCAGGAAACTCCAGCACCTTGTGTGCTTGGACGGAGCTGCTCCACCAGGCTTGTCCTGAGGTGGCCAAGCAAGACCACACTTAACTGAGAGACACCAATGCTGGCAAGCACGGCAACACTGCAGCTGGCCACATCATGGATGGCCTTGCGACTGTATGTCATGAGGGTTCGCTGCCAATGCCCGGCACCATAGCAAGCATCAAGGACGGTTTGGTGCGTAATCAGGCTTGGCAGGAGCCTGTCGTCTTCCATTCTGCAAAGCATGCCCACAGCAAGCTGCCATTTGACACACCTGCTGCAGGCGCTCATGCTCGCATTGAAGGTAATGCTTCCAGCGTGGTGCCGGGGAAACGAGCCGAGCAACTGCATGGCTGACGTCCAGTCATCTCCCTTCTGGCACGCGCTGATGGCTGCATTCATGCAGATCGAATGCGGTTGTAGCTGGCCGCTGGAGGATAGCTGCAACATGTGCAAGGATTGCTTCCAGGCCCCTTCCTCCTCAAGCGAGCTGATTAAGGCTGTCAGCGTGAATGAGTCTGCTTGCAATCTCCCATTGCGCATGTTCAAAGACGTAGCTAGCACTTGCTCCCATGGGGTGCTCATGGCTGAGTTGATGGAGGTTGTGCTGCACTGCATGCCACGCAGCCCCATTTCTGCAACAAGGTCGATGGCCAAATCCCACATTCCACCCTTCTCACAAGCACTGACTAGCGCGTTGTACGTGATCCGATCAGCTTGGCCATGACCTGACAAAAAAGTCTTTAAGAGCTGGGCTCCTTTGCGCCAGAGGGGGCGATCCTCCCACCCACTCAGCAGACTGTTGCAAACAACAGTGTTGGCTTGAATTCGAAGCAGAGCTATATGGGCAAGGGTGCTATGAGCTCGCTGCCACTGAAGGGCTGCCATGCAGGCACTGAGCAGCGTGCCGAGCGTAACTACCGTGAAGTCGCCCGGTCCGGTTGGCCCAACCTTACTCGCTGGACTTCTTGCGTCCAACTTGAAGCTGCTTGTGTCTGCGTATGCCAATCTCAGGGCTCTTGGCCATTGCCTGGGCGCAAAGGTACTAATGCCGGCGTTGCGGCACGCGCTCGTAATTGCCATGCCGGAGTCCATGCAGTGATTCATGAAAAGTAGTGCAGCTTGCCAATCCTTCGCCGGCTTCGTCTTGCTACAGGCATCCAGAACTGCACCGGCACTGACAACATCGACCCTCAAGCCGGTATCAAGAAGACGGAGGACTTCCAATGCAGCACCCCAGCAGCTGCTGCAAGAGCTCGCAATCGCATTGTAGCTTTTGCTGTCTGCTTGCAGGAATAGGGTGCCCAGGACCTCAAGAACATGCAGTGCATCGACCCAGGCTGAACATCTGCTCAAGGCACGGATGGGCTCTGCGAAGCCAGTGAACTGCACGTTTGATCGGCACATATCGTAGAATAGCTGACTGGCAAGTTGGCGCTGCTTGGCGTCGCTACAGACACCTATCATGGCGCCATAGGTTGCCGCGGGGATCTTCTCTTCAAAACCTGCCCATCTCGAAACTGCTTCCAGCGCCCGGCTCCATTGCGGGTGCGCGTCCTGGTGGGCGCGGAGAACTGTGTCAAGCGTGACGACCTCGAGCTTCAACCGCAACACGTTCATCTCACTGAGCAAGGCGAAAGACCTGTACCATTCACTGCCAAGCAAGGCGGCATTGAAGCACGGTTCATCGACATAAGGATTCAGCAGCTTCAGGGCTCTGTTCCACTTTCTGCTCCTCGAGCACAGTCCAATGCAAGCACTGAGACATCTTTCGTTGACTTGCATTTGGGCCTCCTTCATCACCAGCAGGAACCCAAGCCCACGCTCCCACCTCCGCGGCTCCAGCTCTCCTAGAGCAGCCATACCCAGGACAAAGCTCACTGCTGTAGGTCGCAGCTGTTGAGAGCGCATGTCAAGTAAGGCCACCTGTGCCGCCCAAGGTCCAGAGCTAGCTGAGATCTTCATGGCCGCATTGAAATTGATGGTGTCGACCTTCCAGCCAGATGTTCTTCGGGCGGCAAGAGCCCGGAAAGCCCGCTGCCAACGATCAGAAGGCAGCGCGGCCAACATCCGAGTGAAGTCCGCCTGACTCACTTGACTGACCTGCATCATGCTCCAGCGGCTACTTTGCGCATTGCGGCGCTCCATCTCGACTTTGGGGGGTCGATTCGAGTCGCCCGCCTTCGTGGGCGAACAGTTGCCAGCACCAGGCATGCGGTGACTCCATTGCATGACGCGGCTCCTGCGACCAAACGCTGCAGGATTTTCCATGAGTCCTGGCAATCCTGGCAACATCTGGCAACCTCAATCATTCAATTATTTTACTTCGAACATCCCCACCCTCTCTTGGTAGAGATACTCTGGGGTTGGGCACTCCAACAACACTCTGGGGCCGGGCACTCTGGGGACAATCTGGGGTTGGGCACTCGAGGGAGACTGTGGGGTTGGGCACTCCAGGGAGACTCTGGGGCTGGGCACGCCGGGCACACTCTGGGGTTGGGCACTCTAGGCTAATGAGACTCTGGACTCGAGGGTGGGAGACTCTGGGCTTGGGCACCTAGGGAGGAGCGAGGAGTAGACCGGGCGAGGAGAAGAGTTCTGGGCGAGGAGGAGAGTTGAGTTTAAAATCTAACAACCCCACACCGAGGGTGGGAAAAAACACTAAACCATGAAAACCAAGACAGGGCTGATCGAGCCTCATGATGTCCAATCTCTGAAGCTTCAGGGCTCTGTATAAATGACAAGCCCAGCTCTGTTGAGCCTCCGCTGCACTTTCTTCCCGACTTGATACTTGGGAGGCATCGGTAGGCTCAGTCTCATTCCTCTACTGTAAGATGCTGAATGCGCCATCATAAGATCTTGGGGCACTACTTTTCAGGATGCTGCTGCCATTTTTCTCCCATCAACGCTGAAGCTGTTCATGTCACAGATGTTGAGAAGCCTCAAGGTAGGATGCAGTTGGCCTGCCCGGGCACATGCTTCGGCAGCATCCGCAAAGCTGATCAAGTCCGGCATCAACTTCGCCAGCGGCATGTAGTCCAATAAACTCAGCACAGAGAGCCAGCAAGACATTGACTGACAAGCTGCCAGGGCAGAGTTTATGCTGATGAGATTCGGGATTATGCGCGAGGATCCCATACAAAAAACGTGCTCCAGCGCCATGTTCCAGCTGCTCCCTCCACAAGCATTTATGAAGCCGTTATGCGCCACTTCGTTGGAGTCAACACTCTCTCGCGACATATGATGCCACAAGTTCAAGGACAAAGGCCACAGCGCCGAGTCAGCACACCTTGTCAGCGCGTTGGCAGCACAGCTGTAGCTTACTGCGTTGCCGCCAAACCCGCTTAATCGCAGCCCTTCTAGCAACTCAAGCGTTGAGCACCACTCACTCTCGCACGCGTCCAAGGCGTTGTTGAAAGCGATCAGGTTTGCACGGATCCGTGATCGAGTCATTTCTGTAAAGGCTTGCAGTGCATGGGACCAACACGTGCCCCTGGTCCAGGCACAAATGGTTCTTCCAAGTGATACAACTGTGCGCCGGACCAGCATCTTGGACATGTGGCTTGACAGCCCCAATGACCGCATCCAACTTCCTGCTTTTTCCAAGGAAGTCATCGCGCTGTTGTAGCTAATCTCGTCTGGCCGTACTGCCCACCGTGGAAACAGAAATGCACCATGCATTGATTGAAGTAAGTGCGTAGCAAACTTCCAGAAGCACGTCTCATCGGAATCACTCGAGGTGATGGCAAGGCTGTTCATCGAGATTGTGTCAGGTTTGACTCCTAAACCAAGTGAACCAACAAAGAGACACAGTGCAAATTGCCATTCCGACGCCGAGGTACAGGAGCCCAGCATCGCGTTCCAAGTGTGCAAATTCGGTTGAATCTGCTCAAGCTTTCGCTTTTGGAGTGATAGTGAGTACCTCCACTTCTCTTCACAGGAGCTGATTGCGCTTGTCAGGCTGACCACGTCTGGAAGGCATGAAGACGTGTCCATGCTTTCCAGTAGGCATAAGGCCGTAATCCATGAACCTGCTCCCTCACCGGCAGACAATGTAGACAGTGCACAGTTATGCATCACCACGCTTGTGCGATGTCGCTGAGACAGGAGCAGCCAGGAACGCAGCCATCCGCTTCCTGAGGCACTCCTGAGAGCCCGCATCACGCCAGTGAAGCTGAACGCGTCGGGCCACATACCTTGCTGCACGACTTCACCAAGCAGTGACAAAGCCTGAGGCCAAAAGGGAGTACGGCAGCCATCAAAGCAAATGCAGGTGTTAAACGAAATCAGCCCTGCCCGCAGACCAGAGCCAATTCCAGAGCTTCCCTTGCCAAACTCTGCCAGCAACTGCAGAGCTGGCCTCCATCTAGACGTGTGCTGATAGGCGGCGATGCCGATGTTCAGTGAAGCTGCATCTGGTGACACTGAAACCCTTCGCATGGTTGCCACCAGATCGAGTACCGACTCCCACTGGTGGCTTCTACGAAGGGCGGATAAAGCTTTGTTCCATTCCCGTGCTGCACTTGCCATAAGAGACACCACTCAAAATTTCAGCCCTGGAACACGCGGGCAAGTTCACAGCAGTGCCACTACAGATCCTGGAGGGTGGGTCGTGCGTGAGCGCGTCTGGTCACTTCTGCAACCTGCCCAGCATCGGTGCATGCACGGCAGCTCCATGTGAAGGCGCAGTGCTCCTCCGATCCTCCTCGCTGGCCCAGAGGTGGTGATCTTATGCTGCTGGCGGGCCACTCTGAGCAGGGGGCGGCACACGTCCACGATTCGCCACCCCATAAAAGGATCACAAACGGCTGTGACATCTTTACTCAAAAGACTGCGCGAGAGACATGGCGACAAACAAAATTATGCGTGTTTCAGGATTCGTGGTTCATCCGCTTCCCAGATTTGATGTCTCTGTCATGCCACACCGGCACCTGATCTATATCAGTGACGGACAAAATTTGGCAGGAGAGCGGGGCCCATATCGCTTTTCGTACTGTGGGACCATGCCTCCTCGAAGGGTTTCACTGATTCGTTCTACAAGCTTAGTATCGCTTTTCGTACTGTGGGACCATGCCTCCTCAAAGGGTTTCACTGATTCGTTCTACAAGCTTAGTGCTGGAAGCGACGTCTCTGTAAGCCGGCTATATTTTCACTGTTTGTAACAAACCCAGTACCAGAAGCCATGTTTCCACAAGCCGGCTGGATTTTCACTGGTCTGTAGTACAAGCTTAGTACTGGAATCGATGTTTGACATGTACAAACCAATACTATGGCTCTAGGTGGGGTTTACTGAGATTCATGACAGACCGTGTCTCCACAATGCTGGCTTAGATCAACAAATTTGTCGGGGGTGCTCATATGAAACATCAATGATGGTCCGTCGTAGCAGCCAAAATTCAAGATCAAATCCCTCTGGAGTGGTTTCATCATGCCCCTGTTGAACTTTTTTGGACTCTCTCCGGCACCCCCCCCCAGCCATAGCACCACCAGGATCTCACGGCCCTCAACTCCAAAGCACTGCTTTGGGCTGTACATGAGCATGTGCTTCTCGACTTTGGGGCCCTGGCCCCCTCGGAAGATCACCATCCTGCGCCAACGCAGGAGCACAGCATATCACTAACCAGTCATTGCTTACAACTTCCAGGAGTTTACAGAACTGATGATGACCTCCCAGGCACTGCAGTCACGATAGTCTCTCCTGTTTCGGTCTCGGTCCGGGCGTGATCTCCCCCTTCACAACAGCAGCAAAGTTTCGCTTTGACAGTGTGTGGAAAGTCTGCCATTCACGGAATCTGTGTCGAAGCATGCTGCCTTCACGCTTCAATCGAAGCAGGTCAACCCAGGCATCCATCGAGATGGATCGGACTTTCTGACTATATGGACATCTCGGCAACGTACGTCCCATGTGCATCCTTGCTGGTCCCTCGTGTCCTGCATATAGGTCTGGCATGGACCGCATGTCACCGAGAGATTGCCATGGCCTCGGCCACCAGACCCCGGCAGGCCTGCAGCCAAGGAAGGCAAATCCACTTTCAGGGTTTGGGGTTTAGGGTTATAGGGTTATAGGGTTATAGGGTTATATGGTTATAGGGTTGTAGGGTTATAGGGTCTTCCAGTGCAGTCATTCTGGCTTTAACACCAGCGCGAGGCCCTCAATAACATTCCAAGGTTCCGCAAAGCCTGTGTCTGGCATGTGATGGGTGCAAGGCCTTCACGCCATGGGGCCAGGGGGATTTGGTCCCACACTGGCTTTCAGGTTTGGGATTCGGGGAAGAGGCTCCAGTCTCCAGTTGCGCATCGCGCCTGACGCGTCGGAGCATGCTTGGTTTGAAGCTTCGCTCGTTGAATTCGACTTCCAACTTTCAACGCTTCCGACCATGCGCCTCTCCACACTCTCCGCATCATGCACACACACCGTGGTGGCTTAACACGCCATTCGCACATTGTCGCTCTTTTCAAATCATCCGTGTGGCATTATTCGTCAAGTAGCTGACGGATGGCGGGTCTTCCAGCTGCACTAAAACATGTTGAACAAAAGGACTTAGGCTTCCGGAAGATGGACCAAGGCCTATACAGCTGAGTCTGAAGCTGCAATGCGACCTGCCTCGCTGCCAGCACTGTCGGAGTCGTCGCTATCCCACTCCGTGGTCCCTGAACAATGACTCCGCATCGTTTCCTTACTAGGCCAAGCTGCAAAACATGTCTTCACGGCTGCGCAAGCAATGCTGAGTGCTTCCGCAAAACTATCTGAGAACTAAGGGAATTCATTGGCTCAATCCGACCAAGGCAAAGCAGTGTTTCATCTGCTGTAGGTTCGAGGGTTCGAAGCTCTAAGCTCCGTGCACCAACGCTGCTCCAGTGCATCTGCTGGACACCAGATCGACTGGCCATAGGCTGGTGAGGTCAACCGTGAAAATGCGCACGTCAAACGAGACTCAATGCATTCTGCCTCCACATAGCCTGCTCCTCCATGTACAGGTGGCGCAGCGCCTTGCTGCGGTCATGCTTTTCGTGCTCGAAACCACACAGAATGTGCGTGGCAGACGACATGACAGCGAAGCAGGGTGCGTCATGGTGCGTCCTTCCAACTCGTTGACGCAGAACTAAGCCACAAGTTTGCACAGGCCAGACACGCTCGGCAAACGACGACGCGCTTTTTTTGTCTCCGACTGCTTCTTTCGCATCTGGGCTTTGCACCCTGGATTCATCTGGCAAAACTATTGCACTCGGCTCGGGGCCCGTTCTAGAGCATTGAACGGCCACTTGGCCGATGCTGTACAAGACTCATTGGCGCACCGTGGGTGCTCCGACTCGAAGTGGGTTCCATCCCCTTGCGCTGAAACGAACGGCTGACGCAATGACAAGAACCAACGCTGTTTTCTCGCAATGCATTGACCATATAGAGCTCGTGTGGAAACACTGCACTTCGCATACTTAAAAACAAGATGTTCATCCATCCCCGCGATTTCCAATCAGTGAGGGCAGGTTACACACATGCCTGCTGTGGAGATTCATTCTCTGGCAAGAGCCTTCTCCATCGTTGCACTGGTACTTGCGCGAAATGCTGCTGCAAAGCGACTGCTGCCAAACTGGCATCAGATCTGCACCATCCTACCACATGCCATACACACGCCCTGCTGCTAGAACAATGGAGAAGGCAATCGCGAAAAACGACGAGCACGTCTGCCTGCGGCTATCGAATACCGAGGATAGGCAGTCTTGCATGCATCTTTGGCGCAGAAATCCTGGGCAGTAGATGTTGACAAGGCCCCAGTCTCGACCCGACGATAGCCGCAGAATCAAGTGCCTTCCACGTGCACTCATCAGGTATTTCGGCTTGGCGAAGTGAACCATTCTTGCGCACGGGATTTAAATGCTCTGAGCCTTGCGTTGAATGAGGGCCGCATATTGGTAGGGAAAGATGCCAGACAGTGGCATGTAGTTACGTGCGTTTCTCTAGCTTGCTCAGAGCCCACAACTTGCATGAACTGTGCCTGATGGCCATCCAAAAGTTTTCAAAGATTCCGACAATATCAGTACACCTGTCGGTGCACAAACGATTGGGAATGTGACAGGGCTAGGGTCGACTGATCTATGACGTTCTATGACCAGATAGTCCCACTGCTGATGGACAGATTGCAATTTCAGTACATAGGGCTGACATAGGGGTGGGAAGGTTGATTCCAGTGGAGAGGGGTTTAAAACTACCAACATATTCATGGCTCATGGGACTGAAACACGGCAGAATATCCAGCCTTCCCTGTGAAGTCGACAGACGAGCAGCAGCACGCAGCCGCTACGGAAAATGCATGAGGGCCCTGCTCTGCTCACAACCGACACTATACTGACGGCCGGGTAAAACCCGACCTTCAGGCCTCCAGCCTGACTGGTGTGAACATCGCTGGCCTATGCCGCCCTGTTGCTTGAGCATCATCTGCGCCGGGACTGACCTGCTGAGCTATAACAATGTTCCGAAGATCCCTGAAAGTTCCAAGAACGATTTCAGAACGATGACCAACTACGCTGCGCAATGGATCGCCCCCGCCCTTTCCTTGACCAACCACATGGATTTTCTGCATAGCATGTTCTGCAACATGAAAACTAAAGTGAATGCCGCAAACGACCTCGGCTTCATCTATCCAGGAGGTGGATACCTGAACAGCGTGAGGAAACGGGGCCACTCTGCAGGGTTTAGGGTTTAGGGTTTTGGGGGGTCATCCCTGAAGCAGTGAGTGGAATCTTACTCCATACACTTATTCGCTTCGAAAGGTGAACCACTCTGACAGTTACTCTCGCACAATTGAATTTCCAACACCACAACCTCAGCTGAGGCCCGAAACCATGAACCCAGAATGAAAGCCACAGCATATCTATTCCAGAAGACGTTTAGGGCAGTTTAGGGCCTTAGGGTCCCAGGCAGACTCTGAAACACGTCTGACGCCCTTCCCCACATCCATAGCCCAGACCTGCCTGTACCATATGCACAAATGGCAGCGGTCGCAAAGCCGACCATCCTTGCAGCCTCTGCGTTTGTGCGTGTATTTGCCTCAGAAGCAAGGCTTTCGACTGGATTCGGACCCGCGGGGTTGTGAAACGATGTAGTTTCGCGGCCTGTGACAATAGTATCGTTTGAGGCATTGCGCGTCAACTGCGGTCGGCGGCCAAGAACCGAAAACGAAAGACTTGGTTTGACAAAGACCAGATAATGCGGGGGCTGCTAACATCAGAACTATGCCTTGACTGTGCATTTGTCCTGCATTGAAAAAACGCACCATTGCAAGCATCCTTGCATAGTCCATGCTTTGGGGTGTACGTCGTTTGTTTGTTTTGAATGCGAGGCCGGTCCACTACCTCTTTCTTTCAAGGGGTGCGAAGGTCCGATAGAGGTCATGGCCAGTCTCGATGAGTCCAGGCTGGAGTCATCTTTGTTTCATGGCACAGGCGACGGTCAGCTTCATTCTGCTGCGCCAGTGATCCAAGCCGCACGCACACATCAATCGTTTTGTGTTGATAGCGGCTGGCGGTCGCTA